TCGTCGGCGATCAAGCTCTCTGGTAAAAGATAATTTAAATATATAATTTTAAAAGAAAAAGGTGAAACAGAATCTTGAAAATATAAATAGAAGAGGTTAAAATAAGTGGGTGTCATAATGAGTGGATATTCACTTTAACGCTCGATGTTCAAACATGGGACACATCAAAACCCGAGAAAAGCAAAGAAACGTCTGTTTTCTAACATTCACTAAAGAAATACAAATATCAAATTCAAAACTATAACCACTAACTAATCTATCATCTTTATACACTACATGCTTGCTTTAAGCTTTACTCCTCTCGTTTTTATCCTCTCGTTTGCTTATTTTAAAAACTAAACCGTTTACTATTAAATAAAGCTTTCGACCTCTAAAGATGTAACGTACGCGTGTTCGTACACGAACATATATATACGTATAAGTATAATATAACATATATACTTGTGCATGTTACGAGAGAGAGGGAGAGAGAGTGTACCAATGCCAAGAGAAGATCTCCATGAAAGGCAAGACCTTAACTGTTTAGCTGCTTTCTTCACATTGTCTCCTTTCGTTCTCAAGAATCTACTGACACAAGCTCTGTTACAGAACTTCTCCTGCAATATATATTAATAATTAAACAACAAATAGTCAAAAAAAACTTCGAACTCTATGATATTAACGGCAAAAGTAGTGGGCTGATTAATCAGTAAATTGACCAACCTGTTTTAGAGTGAGAGGAGAATGTTTACGAAGGAGATGAAGAACAGCTTCGACTTTGTCGTCGCTCTCTAACATTGAATGATGCTTCTGCTCCTTCTTCCCCATTTTCGAGATACCAACCAGAAAGATTTCTCCTTTCTTTCTGTCTTTCTTATTTTTATTTGTGAAAGAGATGGATTAATTTGCCCGTTGCAACAAATATTCCAAGCTTGTTCTTCAAGCGAGATAGAGAGAGAGAGAGAGAGTGTGTGTGTGAAAGAGGGGGAATAAAGAGATTTTTGAAAAAAATGGAAGTGACTGAATGGTGAGAGAGAGAGAGAGAAAGAGATTCCCTATTTATTTTGGGAAGGAGATAACGGCAGCTGACGCCGTTAACTCTACTCAAGCCATATGTCCCTGTCAAGCTATGTCTTTAATATTTTATTGTTTGTATTAAGTAAATAAACTAGCAAAAAAAATTAACTGGATAAATTTTTATTTTCTGGAGTAATACTGATTTAAAATATGCAATTTCTTTACATAGAGCAAAATTAAATCGACACAACAGCAAGCGGTGAAACTCTTGTGCGGAAAAAATTGCATTTTCTTGTAATATATAAGAGAAAAAGAGGTTTTGTTTAAAACGAATAGAAATAAATAAATAGAGGTCAAACGACGTCAAATGTTTTAACGCAGGGGAAGGTTTGCCCGTTGGAACAAAAATGACAACAAGGATTCAGCTTTTCTTAAAACTCGTTGAACTTTCAATAGTTTTTAAAAGCAATAATACTGATCACATCAACCTCTCTTTTTGTTCTTTTGAAATTTATGAATCTTTTTCTTGTTAAAGGGAAATTTATGAATCTTATTCCAGGTACAACAAAACACTTTGTTTACGTCTACTAAATCAAACGTATTCTTTAGAAGAAAAAAAGTTCTAAAACAAATTATGTAATCTTGTTGGGTTTATAAACAGACTATGTCAAATCATAACTAGTCGAATTTGTTTCTAAATGATAAAACAATACTCCCTACAATGAGAGTATCCTTTCATTTATTGCCCTTTCACAAAATTTCCAAAGTATTTTCTTGGTTTCTTTCTCGTGTGTTATTTAGAGTAAATAATTTTCGGACATTTATAAACTAGCTGAATTTTGTTATTTTTGTTTTGGTTTTTCCATTAAATAAGGGGAAATTTTCCAAATTTTCCAAATAAAGGGAGTATATATTGTCTACTTTAAAAGAGGAAACATGAAATGATCAATAAATAGGTTGATTGGGTAGATCAGATGTCTGATGTCTCTCGTGCCACGAATCGGAATTAATTTACAGCCCTTTTGTCTCCGGTGTAGTAACTACTCATATTTAACACCACACTTGACTTTTAATTTTAGTCATCAAGTGGTCTCAACAGAAATTAAATGCCATCACTTTATCACTTACTTATAAAGAAACAACAAACAACGACAAAATATAAAGCAAACATCGGACCAATGTAATTTAATTAATGCTACAATTAAAGTATTGTATAAAGCTCCAGTAACTAAAACTCCCAACCCTAGAACATCGGAGTTTTTTTTTCATTCTATCTCTAATTGATAGAATGTGAGATAATACCGTAAAACTCACAACGGTCCAAATTATAAATACAAAGTATAGTATATATGGACATTTAATAAGATACAAGAGTTCAATGTTTGGAAGTGGAAACGACATCTCAAAAGGACCTATCTTTGACAGCTAACAGCAACAAAATCAAATATTGGTGTCAATAAAGGTGTACCTTCAAGTAGAATATAGTGGCGTGTGTGTTTTTCTTATAAAGATGATATAATCGTTATCTTGATGATTTTTTTCGTCTTCATATCTGCCACGATCGAGAACATATATTCAATATTTTTGATTGATTTTATATACTCTCTAGTCTCTACCCATACCATTTAACACTCGTCTAACCAATTATACTATACATTAGTATTCTGATGAATAATCAGTATAATTCAAGAATCGAGATCTTCAAATCTAACAAAATGTGTCACGCTTATATATATATATATATCAATTTGGCACATCTGCACCATATGTGCTTTCAAAACACGTATTACGTATATGTCCCACTTTTCTTAACAGAAATTAACTTTTTGAAGTATAAAACTCACTTACTTCAGTTTTGAAAACCTAATAAGAAATATAGGTTTAAAGAAAGCACTAATACTAGAAAACAAAGGCATGCAGAGATGAAAAGCATGTGGAAAAAAGAAGAAGAAGCCCGTGAGCAACTAGTAATTAGTATACATATCAAACTGACTGTTTGATGAAAATCAAAAGACTTACTTATATATAAAACAATGAAAAATATTAATTTTATTATGTCATGGGTGATTCCTATATTAGCTTGATGTCTCTTCTGTTTGTATCCACCTAAACTTTTGAAGTAAAATTGAACGTGGCGAGTTGATTAATTATATATACAATGAGACGACTTTGAGTTGAGTTCAAACTTTTCATTATTAATCGCATGAAAAGTCACTATGATTATGTCTGTTTGTTCATTTATAACACACTCATTGTATTTAAATAAACATTAAGATCGATTACACCTTTAAATGACGATGGTAAGTAAGGAACCTTTAATTCAAACAAACTTACATGCATAGTTGACAAACACTTCTGATCGTAACCTCAAGTTTCGTAGATTTCGATTTCATCCGCATACAAACAATATGTTTCTTTTAATTTTGTGACAAACAATATACCTCAGAGTCGGTTTCAAATCGTTCATCACTCAAATTTTCAAAGAAACTCTAAACTTAAAAATGTGACAGCGAAAAGTTAAACAATGTAACATAATTCAAAACTGAACGTTGGAAATGGGCTCATAAAATCAGTGTCTTATTTTATAAGTATATGTTTTCGTAATGAAATCCGACATATATTCCTGATTTCTGATTTTTCTGAGAAGAAATTGCCAAAAGAGTTTATATAGATAAGAAACAGTGGTGACATTATTATTACAGTAATAATTGACTTCGCGACTTTTGGAATACTATAATTTCGTTGGTCTGACGCGATATGTCAACAACAACTCACGTGACCCCCCAAAGTATCTTACTTATTCTGATTCTTCTTACTAAACATTTCTTTCATATGTTACCAAACCTCATAGAAACTCGATTTCATCTTCTCCTTTCTGGTTGTCTTGTATTTCAAATTTTGAAATCGGGCTATGACAAGAAACAATGATATCTTCACAGAGTTAGTTGGCGTTTGATAAACATCCGAGCTTTTCCATCATTTCACATTTTCTATATCGATCTCTTTGCTTGATCAAACATAATTACGGATTAATCAAGTGTTTTAGCTTTTTATGTATTATCATTACCGTAAATAGACAGACGAGAATACTACGTTAAGTAACAACTACTACTCCCTCCATTCTCTCTTTATTTTTATTTTAATAAAAATTGTAGTTGACACAAAATAAATATGAAATTTGATTTATTTATAATAGAATTCAGAGTATCTTCTATATAGATATATATTGATATATTCAATAGCAAAAACCAAATGGAAACAAATAAATTTTGAATCTGTTTGTAAAAGAAACATATTTTTATAAAAAAAAAGAAACATATAAAGTCACAACTAATCACACCCTTAAATTAATCTCTCTTTGATTCGGGACCAACCAACCTTAAAAAGGAAAATAACATGAAACGTATTGGTTGAATATATATTTGGGCTTTGGTTGAATATATATTTGGCCCATGAACATTTTAATTCTTCGACAAATCATTTGCAAGGGTCCAAGCAATTTAGAAATTAGCAATTATTGACAGATCGATTTCTCACCAGAGGGGGCTAATTGATCAAATCACAAACTACTCGGGTACATTTGCAATAAAGGTGGATAACTATAAATATAGGCGGATGGAAAATAAAAGTTTCGTTTTCGATTCCTATCTTTTGTACCGCTCCGTTGCGCCCCTCTCCTTCCTTCCTTCCGACAGCGGCGGAGTTGCATTGTCGGCCGCCGAGGAACCCGGCGACAGTGGAAACTCGAAGCTCATTAGCTTGTTGCATTCGATTTCTTAAGCAGTTTTTTCTTTCCGCCGATACTCTCATTTCTCCTGTTTCCCGATAGGATCGGGATCATTATTTTTGTTTTCTTCTCTCAACCTCCGGATCCTGTGATTGAGAGGCCGCTTTTTGATGTTTATCGATTCGAGGTTTCATCGATTTAGGTATATCATATTGATTTGGTATCGGATTTATAAACGGGATTTGAAGTAAAAAGGTCCATACTTTGGATTCGGTTTATGGAACGGGGCGGTGGTTCGGGAGAGCGCTCACGGATTGCTGCGAAGACTCCTCCGAGCTATTCGGTGCGCGATGGGCTTTGCAGGACTGTGTCTTGTACTGGAACTAGGCGCAATTTTCAAAAGAGGAGATCCAAAGTGATTGTCAGTGATTCCGAATCAAGTGATGAGTTTGTGAAACCGAGCGTTGACCGCAAAACCCTTGTAGCTAAAGGTAAGGCGAAGGACAAGGTAGACGTATTTGAGTTTGACGAGTACGATGGGTTTGATAGCGCAAATTTGAGGAGGAAACGTTTTGATAATGGCAGTGTTGGTGTTAGCGGAGGAAGCTCTTTTGCAGCTACAAGAGTTGATAGCTATACTAGTGTGGGAAGATCTGGATCTTCAGGGAGGGATGGTGTATTTGTTAGGAGAAAGAAACCATACGTTAATGGCGCAATGAGTAGTGAATCTGACTCTGATGAACCAGTAAGGTTGCAGGGGAGAAACGGTGTTCTGAAGCTCAAGGTGAATAACCAAACGAGCACACTTGCTGCTTCAGTCAATCACCAGGAAGAAGACATGTATGAGAGGTCGTCTTCTTCCAGGAAGGTAGAGAAGCGTGAGAATGTTGTAGTGAAACCAAGCTTTAGGAGATCAATGAATAGTGAAACCATAAGGTTGCAGGGGAGAAACGGGGTTCTGAAGCTCAAGGTGACTGATAAGACGACCACTCTTGCTGCTTCAGCCAATCACCAGGAAGCGGAGATATATGAGAGGCCGTTTTCCTCTAGCAAGGTACAGAAGCGTGAGAATGTTGACAAGAGTTGGGAGTCAGAAGAGAGTGACAGGTCGAGGAGATGCAAAAGGAAGAAACCAGAATGCCAAATGAAACCTGGTGTGAGGGAAGAAAGAAGAGAAAGGCGTGGTGGAGGAACAGAGAAGCAAAGATTACGTGAGAAAGTTAAGGGATTGCTTATTGATGCAGGATGGACGGTAGACTATAGACCTAGGAGAAACCGAAGTTACATGGATGCTGTTTATGTGAACCCCTCTGGAGTAGCATACTGGTCAATAATTAAAGCATATGATGCACTTCGGAAGCAGTTAAAAGACCAAGAGATTGACGCTAGGTCTGTGAAGGCTACTGCTGCTGCAGTTGCTTCAGTATCGGAGGATGTTGTCAACAGTTTAGCAAGGAAGGTGAAGAAGACACAGACTGAGATGACTAAGCAATGGAAAAAGGATTTCAGTGGTAGCGAGAGTGAAAAGGAAAGTGATACTCGCAGAGAGAGGATGGGTTCAGAGAAATCAAATAAGAGAGGAAGAAATGGAACCGATGATTTACACTCGAAAAGTAAAAGACTTTCCTACTATAGTGATGCAAGGCCATCCTCTGGATCAGGTTCACATTATCTACATAGAAGAGAAAGCAAAAAACTTGGAAGATGTACTTTGAAGGTTCGTAGTTCTGAGGATAAAAGAAATACAGAGATCGATGGTTTCAATCCGTACTCTGGGAAAAGAACATTGCTTTCTTGGTTGATTGAATGTGGAGTTGTCCAACTAAGACAAAAGGTACAATACATGGACCATCAATGCACAAAGGTGATGCTCGAGGGATGGATAGCTAGAGCGGGGATTCATTGTGTTTGCTGCAGTAAAATCCTCTCAGTTTCCAGGTTTGAGATCCATGCAGGGAGCAAGTCATGTCAGCCTTTCCAAAATATTTATCTGGAATCTGGCAGCTCGCTTCACCATTGCCAAATCAAAGCGTGGAATATGCAGAAAGATGCTACGAGTCTTGGTTTCCACCACGTGGACACTGATGGTGATGATCCAAATGATGACGCTTGTGGTATTTGCGGCGACGGTGGAGACTTGATTTGCTGTGATGGTTGTCCATCAACGTACCATCAAACCTGCCTAGGTATGGAGGTATGGATTACTGCAAAGTCTTGCCTGTTTAGATTAGACCTTCTTAACATTTCTTTCCATTTTCTTGTTTTAGAGTTCGACATTGTATGTTTTTTTGGTTTCTTGTGTGTGTGTGTATTCACTTAATTTATTATCATGCTTTGATTATAGGTGCTTCCTCTAGGTGATTGGCACTGTCCAAATTGCACATGCAAATTTTGTGATGCTGCTGTGGATTCTGGTGGCGAGGAAGGAAATCATTTATCATTACTTTCCTGCAACATGTGTGAGAGAAGATGTGAGATGTTTACCTTCACTGAGCTTGACTTTCCTATAGACGAACTTCCATTGCTAACAATGGCGGTCTCACTTAAGTTTATGACCTTTTGTCACAGATCACCAATCATGCATGAATGAGCTGGGAGCTCATAATGTTCAATCCTTTGGTTCAGCTTCGTTTTGTGGGCCTAAGTGCTTGGAGGTATATTGACGTTCTCAATTTTGTTGTCTTTATTTTTAGAGATTTGCTGATTTGCTTGAGCTTTTGGTCTTTCTTTATCCCTTTCCTTCTTGTATAGCCATGTCGTTAATTATTAACTTTCATTGTTCCACAGCTCTTCGAAAACTTACAGAAGTATCTTGGTGTCAAAAATGAAATAGAAGGCGGCTACTCATGGTCTCTTATACACAGGATGGATACTGATTCAAACTCAAACTCTCAAATGTCGGCAAAAAGGATTGAAAACAATTCAAAGCTAGCTGTCGGGCTGGCTATCATGGATGAATGTTTTTTGCCTATAATCGACAGAAGGAGTGGTGTAAATCTAATCCGCAATGTCCTTTATAACTGTGGGTAAGTTTTGTGTTTACTCTGTCTTTTATCACCAATGCTGGAAAAGTATGAAGTCTTCAACAAACTTATATTATACCAGCTTGATTTCTTATGTTGACTGCCTTTGATCTCTGTGCAGATCCAATTTCAACCGGATTAATTACAGTGGCTTCTACACTGCTATACTAGAGAGAGGAGATGAAATTATATCTGCGGCTTCTCTCAGGTATTGTCTGGAATTCTTTAGACAATTCAGTTACTTGAACTTGTAGATGTAATGAGTGCCTAGGTTCATACATTTGAAGAACTAGTTGTTCCATGGATGTTCTAGTGTTTAAAATGTTTAGTTTCCTTGTTAGGTTCCATGGAATGCAACTGGCGGAGATGCCATTTATTGGAACCAGGCATATATATAGGCGTCAAGGAATGTGTCGTAGGCTTTTTGATGCAATCGAATCGGTAAAAGCTGATTGAACTATGTACAGTCATTGTTTGCTGAAAGGTGCTTTCAACGTTTTTTAACTTTTAGTTTGTCTTTGTTAATGAAGGCTATGCATTCTCTCAAGGTGGAGAAATTGGTGATTCCTGCGATTCCAGACTTCTTGCAAGCGTGGACTGGTAATTTTGGATTCACTCCTCTTGATGAATCAGTTCGGAAAGAGATGAGGTCTCTCAACACATTAGTATTCCCTGGAATAAGCATATTACAGAAACCGCTTGTGAGGTTATAGTAGCAGCTGCACATGTGACTTTGGAGACGGACACAAAAAAGAAATCAAATTTTGCAGCTTCTGGTTAAATCGAACAGTTTCTTTTTTCCTTTTTGTACATGTTTAATTCCAACAGTTGAGATTTTTTTGGTAATTAAACACAACAGTTGGGACTTTGTTAAAAGTTAAATCCGACGGATGTTAAAGATTTGATGAGAAAGGAAAATTACCTTTTGACTTTCTAGCCCGGGAAAAAAAGGAAATATAAAAGCATCTCTCTGGGACCAGAAAAAAGTAAAAAATCCAACGGACGGTCGAGATTGATCAGAGAGAAAAGTCCTTTTTTTATATATATAGCTAAAAGGTTCTGCTTCTAAGATTGTATCGCCCGTTCACTTTTGGAATCCTCTGAACTAAGTAAGTCGTTCTTGTCTCATCATAAGTTGTGTATATACATCGTGATTGTTGTGTTGAATATCCACAGATCCGCAGATCCACTCTTCTCTTCTGTCTCTTTTAGAATTCTGTTTTTCTTGAACGTATGTATTTTTACTTAAATTCGTGTGTGTATACAGATATATATTACCTCCCTTTACGACAGTAGACACTTTAGGTTGTTAGAAATCATCTTCTTCTTCGTTTCAGCGATTATTATTATTATTATTATTAAAAAAAAAGCAGAAAATAGTAGGTTCAGCAGAATTACTTAGTCCAATTGTTATCTTACTTGGGATCTTTGTTTTTGGATGTTTGTTTAGTTAAATTAGTGAGGGATAAGGCTTGTTTCTTCTGCAAGAAATCTAAACAAGCCTTACTAAAATAAAATGGGCAAGGAACTGAAGGAGAAGGCCTTGTTGAGTTGGGAGATAGACAACTTCTCCCAAAGGAACAATGTGATGATCTCGCCAACCTTCTCAAGCGGCGGCTGCAAATGGTAAATCATATCTTTTAGCTTTAACAGAGGACTTGTTTGTCTATATTTTATATGCTAAGTAAAAATTGTGAGGTTTTTTCTCAGGTATGCCAAGGTTTATCCCAAGGGATACCTTTTTCATGATCACTTGTCCGTGTTTCTGCACGTAGTGAATCCTAAATCATTGAGACCTGGATGGAAAAGGAGAGCTAGCTTTTGCTTTGCTTTGTTGAATCAATCCGGAAAAGAGCTCTACAGGTCACCTGGTAATGAATCAAACACTAGTTTGTGTATTCTGATTTCTGTTTGATGAAGAAGGAAAAGTTGATAGACTTGGTTTTTCTTTTTCTTATACACATTACAGACGAATGGAGATGCACCTTGTTCTGCGCTGAGTGCCAAAGCTGGGGTTTCGTTAGGACGTTGCCTCTTACGAAGCTCCATGAAAAAGGATTTCTGGAGAAGAACAAACTAACGGTTGAAGTCTACATGAAAGTGGTTGAAGTTGTTCATCAAGGCAAATCAACTGCGAATGATGTGTTTGATTGCAATGGTTTCCATGTCACTGCTTCTCAAGTAAAGCTAACTACCGGTTTCCTTTTAATCCCATTTGATAAATTAAACAGTAAACACCATCCTGGTTATAGCATAATAACATTTGTATGAATCATATTTTGCAGTCTCCTTCGGTGGGAGCTATTTTTGCAGACCACCCAGACTTTGCATTACATGTCATAGCAAAGAACAAAGGGCTGAAAACAGCCTACATGAATCTCCTCCTTGGCCTCATCAAGACTCTGAACAAGTCTCCAAAGAGCTTGTCTAGGACTGAATTAAGCAATGCTCAAAGCAAATTGACCGAGCTGACGGAAGCAGGCTTCAACCTCGACTGGTTGGAGTCAAAGCTTGAGGAAATTCACTCGGAGAGGAAGAAAGCACTTTCTGATGGATCTTGTGTCCAACAGTTCCAGCTCGAGGAACGGGTCAAGAATCTGGAATTGGCTTTGTCGGTTCAGAAGATCAAATCTGGTGCTAAAGTTTCTCCGTTTGAGTTGATAGATTTTCTTGTAAAGAGATTCTTTCTCTCTTGCTTCTCAATCTCGTAACACTAACTACCTTTGTCAAAGCTTGCCCTGAAACCATTTCACTACAACAATTACGCCGGTTTATTTATGTCGTTTACCATACTTAACCTTATTTGACGTAACGTCACTTTTAACGTTTTTTCGTCGGCAAATAAAAATCGTTTAGCTTCACGATTGTGAGGAATCGCGATTATCTTGGATTATAGAAAGCTCACATATTTCTGATAAGCACCGATTATCTTGGATTGGATCAAAGATGGGCTTCGATTAGTTATCGGTTTCTATCTCTTAGTATTGGGCTTTTATATTTATCATATTGCATTGTCGTTTTAATGTTTCTCTTTTAAGTAGAGAAGTCTCTCTGTAAACGTTTATCGGATAATAACACTAAAACCCCTCAACTAAAGATGAATCTGACAAAAACCCCTCATTTATTAAGGTCGTCGTAAAACCCTTCACATTAAATTTTGTTAACAATTTAACCCCTCCGCCCATGTTGTCGTCAAAATAGAAGGAATACACCTAAATTAAAACGCTGCGTATTGGAAAAACAATATTTCCCACCCCCCCCCCAAATTGATATTCAAAAATTAGGGTTCTTCGTCTATAGCTATAATTGAGAAATTTTTTGTGCGATTAAAGAGATTGTTTCTAACAAGGAATTCATTTTAGCTCAAGGATATGATGAATCCGTGATGATTCTCGGATAGGGATTTCAACTGTGGTTCTCAGATTTCATAAAGCAAAACTCGAAATCAAGGTCAATTTGCGTCAATATCTTTGTGTGTCAGAGAGTTTTATCCCCAATTCTAGTGAACACGCATGTTTCTCATAGTTCCTTCAGATCATAATCATTTTTTATTTGGATTAGTTAATTTCTTCATCTCCTCATGCTATTTGACCGTTTTCTAAGATAAAACTAGACATACTCTGTTTTAGAAAGTGAAGATTTGTGGAAGTAGCTTGTTTTCATGTGTTCACTATCGGACGATGATCAGGTGAAGCTATTTGATTCAGTTAACATTTCGTTTACCAAGACATGTTCTGAAGTTTTCTTGGTCATATAAAGGTATATTTGGTTTCATCACAGTTAACTGTGTTTTTCTTAGTCACATACTTGTTTTTCATACGGGTTCGAGTCCCGGCCACAACGGATTTAACATCCCTTCCGTTGGGGCGCTGAACCCCACTTGTGGTGATAGTCGGGAATGTGGCTGCCCGGATACCAGAGTTATCAAAAAAAAAAAAATACTTGGTGATATAGGTTTTTGGTTGTTAATAGATCAACTCTCTTTACTTAGCTGGTATCCTTGGGTGTATGAATTACATAGTTTTGCTGTGATTGTCTAACTTTGTTAAGCTCTAACATTATTCATTGTCGATGGTGAAATTATAATCAGTCTTGAAGAGAACCTGATTAAAGATTCACATGTTATAAGGATCCTCTGTTGTCGTTTGAGCATTGATGTAACAAGTAAACCGAGAGTGAACACAGTTTTTTATCAAAAAGCAAGAACACATTTTTCAAACCAAAGATGAACATGTTCTAACAATTATACCAAATATAAATGCTGTGGGAACTTCCGAATATCCTTTTTAAGGGAAAAACAAAAACAAAATTAAAAAAAAAAACTAGATCCGTAGAAGCCCAAGTAATTTCCGACGAAGCTGGAAGCACGTAAAACAAAAAAAGAGATATAGATCTCACCGAGAAACGCATTGCTCGCAGATCTTGACGGCAACGAGGACAAAGAGGAAAACTCCGATCGTTGCCGGAACATACCTCTGAGCTTCGAAACCAACAAAAAGCAGAGTTTCCACCGTAGCTGCTGCTCCACATGTGAGACCCAAGGCCTGAAAGGTCCTTTAGATTTTCTGGACCTCGAAAATTTTCGACCCCATCATAAATCCAGCATATAGTGAAATCGTTGGAAGAAAAAATTCCGGTAGATAGAGCTCCATCTCAGCAAAACTCGGAACCCCTTCCTTTTTATCGATTAGATAATACCTAGCCGGAACAAAGAGAAACACCTGCCCCATCATCCACTTGATGTAGGTATTCCCTTCTTTGACGAAATCCTTCCAAGCGGTACTCTCCACTTCATTGCCTACGCCAGCCTCCACATGTCCGTCACGGTCCTCACGGCGGCGGAAGAACACCTTGAGCCTTTGGAGGAAACTTGAACCGGCGGGAGCAGGGACGGCTCTAGGCTCCACGGAAGTGTTTGGAACGCCATCGTCGACAGCGTTTTCCTCGTCCAACACTCTTCCCGGAGCAAGCAGAGGAGCTTCGACGTCGTCTCCGTCACGGCCGCAGAAGAACATCTTGACCCACGCCAAGCATACGCTGACCCAAGAGAAGGCGGCAACCTGAGAGTTGTCGTTACCCGAGGGATCAACGTCGCCGTCAACTCCGTTTTCACGATCAGTAGATGACATTGTCTCTCTCTCTCTTTTGCGTCTCTTTTTTCAGAGTTTGTTTTGCAAAACTGACAGTCCCATCATTATATACATGAAACCATATCTTTAAGGTGATGATTGGTTCTCCCGCTACCACCCGCAAACGCAGCGTTTGCGGTTCGTAGCGGTTCTTAGCGTTTTATAACAATCACGACAACCGCTTTCAACCGCTCTATACCACTCTGTACCGCTCTATATCGCTGAAAATCAAAAGCTCCTTTCCGCAAGCGTTTGCGGTTGCGGGCGGTTGCGGTTTGAAAAAAAAAAAAAAAAAACATAATATCTCCAAATTTGGAATAAGGGTATATTTTTTTGAAAAATACCATAATTATGTTTAAAAATTTCGAAAATACCCTAAATTTTTTCTGTTTTGAAAAATACACTTTTAAAATGTAAAAAGTATGTTTTGACGTGATTTAAACAAAAAAATAATAAATAATTACAAATTATAAACGAAAATTTAAAAAAATAATAAACTAATAAGTTTTTTTTCAAATAAATATAGTATATGTTAAACTGAAACAAATTTTAATATTTTGGATCTTTATATAAACAACTTAACCTCATACACATTCAAACCAAATGAAACTTTAAATAAATTAAAACTTTACATATATTTAAAGTTTATAAATTATTAAAAATTTAAAAGTGGAGAAATATATCTTTCATTTTTAATGTTTATCTTTTGAAAAATTTAAATATTTTTGAAACTTTGCATAAACAACTTTAATCTCACCCCATTTAAACTTTATATAAACAATCTTATATTTTTATTAAATTGTTTAAAAAAAAACTAAACAGGTAATTAGGATGTTAAAATGATACAAAATTATTATCAAATATTAATATTTTATATTTCTTATTTGAATTTCGTTTTTATTAAATTAGGAATAATCATTTTACATATAAAAAGTGTATTTTTAAAAAGGGTAGTTTTCAAATTAAAAATTCATCAAAAAATATATTTCAAAAAAAAAATTATTAATATGGTTATAAATGTTTTGAATAATTATATATTATTTTTATTTTAGTAACTTTTGGTTAAACCGCTCTTGCACCCGCTGGCTAACCAGTCAAAAATATCCCGCAAACGCAACCGCTATGAATTGCTATACCAGTCGTACAAACAGCTTTTAATCGCAAACTCCCGCTTCCGCAAACTCCCGCAGCCGCAAACTCCCGCAACCGCAACCGCAGCGGTTAAACCAGTCAGACCCTAAAACCCTCACGGAAAGTTTATTACAGGTATGCCATCGTGCGATTCGTTAACCTTTGATATTTAATCCTAGTTTACTCTTTATCATTTCTCAACTTTTACTTTACTATTTCAAAATTGTATATTCACGACCTATACTATGTAACCTATGTGTGTGAAATATACAATCGATTATTAGTTGCAAAAATGATTATTTACTCATTTGTTTATTTATCAGTGAACACTCTTTTTACTAGTTTTCTTGTACCCTAATATAATTTTATAATACATTGACAAGGATTTTAATATGTTAAGCTAATCATCTCCGAACCAACAAAAAAAAGAAGAAAATATTCAACCAAAGGTAATGGGACACGTGGCTTGTCCCTGACAATTCCGTACTCCTCTCCAATTATCGTTTGTTTCTCTCCCATTAACATGAAAATAAAAATAAAATTCTGAGACTAAAGCATCAAAAGAGGGAGAGAGAGGCGTTTGTAAGGAGAATAAATTTGGAGATTAGCTTTGAAACCTCAGGGAAAACTGTATATTAAAATCTGATTCATATCAAATACTATAGTGAAATTGAATATTATGTCAATGGCTCCCCTTTGAAAGGGCATGTGTTAATGCATATTTTATTTTAAATTAAAATATGTTTAAGGATGCACAAAAAAGTTTTCGATGGAACCCGTGTAAAGGGAGCTAAAAGTTAAGAATTTTTCCCCAGCAACAACTAACAAGTAAAGATATGGAATGGGAGTATCAAAAAGGTACTCTTTTCGAATTAGTTAATTACTTTTTCTTTTACATAAGAATAAGATAGACGCCGTGTTTGCAGAACACGCCTTTTTGTCTTTCTCGGAGCAGTACCCTCCCCAAACCTTGTCCCCAGCTATGTTCATATCCCTTTCAACTTCCGTACCCTTCTTATAATAATATAAATAAAAGTTATTGTCTACATTTATTTATATATCAAAGATACACTATGTAAAGTTGGGCTTGCTCATCATATGCAATGTCCTCCTGTCACGTGTTATAAGTCCTGACCGGGAAAAAGAATAACGAGATCTCTTACGTCCTTGGAATTTATAACGTCCTTGGAGTAAAATACTACTGATTCCTTAAAGACGAAATCCAGAACATGGTAAATTAGGCTGAATTGTTTATTTCCCCAACGAATCTTCATACTGTAGTAATTAAACCTTTATGGACCAAGGGTTAATCAGGTTTAAATTCCCGCTCAGTTACTCACATTAGTAAAATACTCACAAGGGTTTAATGATTAGCATGATTAAATTAAAATTCATTTTTTAATCCGAGCATACACTTGTCATGGTTCCTCAAGGTCCCGCCGCCGATACAAGTGCGGCGAAGATACGATCTGGTCTGTTCGACTCCGCCTCGGATCGCTGCGAAGTTTGGCTCGAGGATTCGCACTACTGGGATCTTTTATCCGGGTCGGAGAGAGATCGCCGTTGAGCCGTCTCTCGATTCGTCTAGGTATTTCGTTCTCGATCGGGATTGACGACGGGCGTGGGAAGTATTCGTTTATCGTTGTACGATATCCGTTTGATTCAGAAGCCGCGTTGTCGGATCACGAAAAGTACGCGAAGAGGGAGAAAGAGAAGGAGACAGGGGAGACGGCTTAAAGCGAGAGTCACATCGATATCCACGCCGTTAGTCACAGATCGAAGGTAAAGATTGGGATTAAATTGGGATTAAGTAGAGAAGAGAATCAGAAGAAATTGGGATTAAAGATGAAGAAAGAGAAATCAAACAAAAAATAAAAAAGATGAAGAAAGAGGAAGCAAGTTTGGTTGATTTTGAGATTCTCTCTCTTACTTTTTCTTGGGAGTCATATCGTTTACAGATTACAAAGGATAATAATACATGATGATCTACATGTGAATATGCGCGATTCAAATGCGTTTAATTGATAATTTAGAGATAAAGCCCAACGTAAGCCTCATAACCTTATCAGTAAACCGGTCTGTTTGTAAGCCCAATAACCTTATTCTTAAAATTGCCAAATCTTATGCTTTCATTCAGATATTTCCTCTTTGTTCATAGGCTTAAAGATCTGCTCTTCGGTTACCACACGATTAATCAGAGAAATTCGATTAGTTTGCACTAGACTGAAGAACTGCAATTGGAAAGAAGAGTTATTCTTGTCTTTTCGTCATTACTTTTTGTATTGTTCCAAGGTTCATGGATTCACAACACTAGGTTATAGTATAAATTTGCAATACTACTAATTTAGGGGCCATTTAGTTTTGCATCTCATAGCTCTTTTGATCTCTTACACCTTTCGTTGCTTCCAAGTTCCAATACTTGTATATATAAACATCAATGAGAAATACATACAAATACGTTACAGCAAAAACTTGTAGCTGCATGATCAAAATGGTCTTATATGACCAGAATGATGTCACAAAAACTCTTCAGCCTTAATAAGATCATCCAAAATCTCAGCCTTAACCTCATCAGGAAGAGGTGCAGATGGACCTGCCTTTGAGTAAAACGCCGCCAAAGCCCTGATTACTTTCTCCAGCTCCGCGTAAGACTCCTGCAAACATAAGCAATCCGTTCAATCAAATCAACTTCATTTAATTCATCAAATGTCCAAAAAACATGAACAAAAAGGAAGCAAGCAATGTACTTCTCCAGCTACACTCTTTTGTCCTCTCCAGTTGCTCATATAGTCACGGATCGATTCCTTTGCAGCATCAGCGCTTCTCCTAAACTTGGCATTGTCTTTAGGGTTCTCTTTCAGTGACTCTCTCATCGTTTTCACAACCTCTCTCGCAGATTTCAGGTAAGCTTTTGGTAGCTCTTTGCCTGCTTTTGTTCTCTCGTTTGGATCAAACAGAGACTTCAAGGCACCAACAACTCCTTCTTCGCCTTCTTCCTTTTCCTCTGCTTGAGCAGCTTGTAATCCCGGAAACTCAACTGTCGCCAGAAACGAAGCTCCAACAACACAGTTCAAGAATCCACGACGAGCAATCAAAGATGATTGGCATTGGACATAGCGATGAGATCTCTCTTGAAGCTTTCCGTCTGTTCAAATTGCAAAATTTCAAACATATCAAAAAACAGAGCCACACATAAATCAACCAAAACTTCGCTATAATCAATCCATCTTTTTACCAAAATTGATTCATTCCAGAGACTAAAATTGATCCAACATCATAAAAAAAAAAGAGATTTTCTGTCAATTTGAACCTAAAACAACACTTCTTCATGGGAAGAAAGCAGAGAGAAAAAATTGATACTTTTACATCCATGCTTCGATTTCAATTGTTGACGCATCAAGGTGGGAGCGAAATTAATGGCGGCTACAAGTAAACCCATGAATGTAATCCTAGTGTGATGATGACAAGAACAAGCTCAACTTCGTCTATCGTCACCTTGACGGCAAGGAATTTACCGGAGGTAGGCGTCGTCGTGAAGGAGGAGGCAGAGATGAAAATGGATGGTTCGTGTTGCTTGCCTAAATGACGAATATGCCCTCCAAGCTCAGAAGGATTAAATGAAAAAATTAAAAAATCGCTAGAAGGAGGGGTCGAACCTCCGACCTTGTGGTTAACAGCCACACGCTCTAACCAACTGAGCTATTCCAGCTTCTTGATACATTATGCGTATTAATAATATTTAACACGTTTATATCGACGTCACTATACCAAATCATGGATTTAGACAGCATACTGATCTATTGTTATTAATAAACTTTCACCATTTTGCAGTAAGATTTACACTTTTCATATACGATACGTTTATATCAATCCAAATACATACACACACATAGATACATTCGAGAGTCTCGATACATACTTACAATTACAAATATTTAAAAACTGGTCAGGGAGAATTGGAGACAAGCGACAGAAAAGCAGGCACTAATTTATACACATACTTTACGAAAAAGGAGTATAAGATTAGACATTCTGCGCCAAAAAAATGGTTTATATGACGCTGGAAGAAGATGCTTCCATCAATTTGCTTAATCAAGCACTTTTAAGTTTTAACTAGATTCATAACCTCTAAGGAATGATCTTCTTAGTTCACCACCTCTACAAACTCTAACCTCTAAGGAATGATACTTTTATCCGGCCTAACAATCCCGAATAAAAATAAAATGATTCGATGTAATACTTTTATCATATACAACTTTTAGATTCCATCTAATTTGTTTCGACGTGTATATAACGTGAGAACAGCAAGAAAAGTAGGAAAAAAAGTCAATCTACAATTTTTAGATTCTATAATTTGATACGTTACGTTAAAATAGAAATAGTAACATTTGTCTGTCGACTTAGCTTTCATTGTTTGTCATGGCACTATATCAGACGTTTTTTTGGTAGTCTCTCCAAAAGACAAAACTTTTTAAAACAATCATATCATACCGATTAGCTAATTAGGTATCTAGTTTTGTTGTTTGGTAATTCGCTAGAAGTTGAATTTTTTTTAACACAACTACGTATAATTTATCAACCAAGTTTTTACAATGTTTATCTTTTCCTGGACGTTCATGATTTATTTAAAAGGTAGAAACAAAAACAAAAGCAATCTAACTGCATGCGATCAAGACAAAATCCCACGCCTCTCTCGATTATCTCGTATCATTACACAATAATTACATTAAACAGTTTTTTTTTGTCCTAAAGCGTTAATCCCAAAAACATAAGATAAACTACTACTTTTACATGTAAGTTCCAACTTCCACGTTAGCTTGTCCGGTGACCGTCCGATAAGAGGGAGACGAGAATGTCGGCAAAAGCTTTGATGATGAACTTATGTGTATCTGCTGCATTGAGTGAGAGGTAACTGAGTAATAGCTCGTGCAAGAATTCGTAACGGCGAAGATCTCCGGTGTTTGTAACGGCGTCGAGCATCTCCTGCATTGATCTCCGGAAGTCGTTGTACGGATCAGGAGATTGCACGTATTGTTTCACGGCGGTTCCTCCGATGAGAAGCCTATTAGTAGTAGTAGTCGTGGCAGTAGCAGTTTCGTAACTATGGCGTGGTCGGAGATCCGGCGAGTCGGTGATTGAGTTGGAGCGGCCAGGAGAAGAGAAGAAGAAGCGGCGTGAGGCTAGAACGGCGGTTAAGTCTGGAGGGGGAGAGTCGCCGGGAGCAAAACCGTAATTATCTGAGTCATCGTAGGAGACGGAGGATGAAGAAGAATTAGCGGCGGTGGAGGTAGAGGCTGTGAATGTGGTGGAGGAGGAAGGTGCAGCGTCGATGAGACGCTTGGATATGTGGCGACCGGCGTCGTCGTAGAGGAGGTTGAAGTCGTTGATGAGAAGGATGGATGGACGGTTGGGATCGTCGGAGGCGGTGGCATCGGAGGGAGATAAGGAGGAGGGTTTGATGAGATTTGATGGGAAGCAAAGATGAAAGCCTTTCCACATGATTCTTGGCATTTTTTTTGTTGAGAGAAAAGAGAGTAAATGTATTGAGCAAGTTGATTAGCTAGGTGGCTTAATTTGTTTGATAGTTTGTCTATATATATTATGTACCACCACGTATTTTTTTTTTCATAAAGAATACCACCATATATTGATTTATGTTTACACCATGCATCGTGCACTGCTGTAAATGTTAAGACCAAATAAATGTTACTCTATACTATGCCTAGCATTCATCGATGAAAAACATATTTGTAAGATTTTATATGAAACTAAATACACTCAAAACTAACAAACTACTAATCATTTAGAAACTACTGACAAAAAAAAGTATTCTTCTAAGAATGATATGGTAATAAATAAAAAACTATTTTATATTTATAAACTGTATCATTGGAATTAACAATATAAAACGTAAATTACAAATTTTAACTAACCTTTTAATTTCCTTTTGTCTTTAGTTTTTGTGAAAAAAGTGAATCTGAATGGGAGACAAAACTTGAGGAAGCCTACCTGTTAAACTAAAAGACCACAATTATTTGTTTTTTGTTTGTTTGTTTAGATAGAAGGAAATACATAGGGTGAGATATTTATGTTTTTTTTTATATAAAAGCAGGCAGGATATTTATATGTTTTCAACATGGTCTATCTATAAGTTCCTGATATTAATATAAATTTATAATAATGATTTCAGATTCTATGATAGTATACTATTTTGGATTTTTATTACTAAATTATTAAAAATCAGGGCATATACATCATTTCTGTTTATAAGTTTAAATCTATTTCCTTCTATATATATTTTTTTTTGGAAAAGTTTATAAAGAAGTTCAATACTGTGGAAAAGCATATGTGTACTACAATAATTAGAATCCAAAATAGTGAACCATTTATCTTTTTATAATTCCACTTTTCCCGACTCTAACGAAAAAAAAAAATAGCTCGTAGATGTAATTGTCTTCATTTCATACTTAGGAACTCAAGAAAATACTTTTATCAAAAGCAAGTTAAGCAACAAATAAGAAATACTATACCACCGTATAAAAATTGCAAACGAAAAAAGAACCATTGTCCTTGCAAATACAGAAAAAACTCACGAGGGCAGGAGACAATGTCATGGACTACCTAAAGTGGCCATCTCATGACTCAAAGACGAGAGATCGATGTTTAATTGTTTATGCAAACTACACTGACTCACTTACTTCACTTCTCGTTTCTCATCTTAACTAATCCGTGTTCTTTCCATTTTTACATTTTATATTTTCCTAAGCAACAAACAAATCTACCGAATGATCGAGTAACGTGAATATAATGTTTTGTATTAAAGCTTAGTTTTTTTAAAGCTTACATAGAAAATCCAATATCACCGAACATTTGCTTGAGAAATCTATGAATGGCAACTTTCTTTGATCAACAATGATACTTAGATTTGATCAATCTCTATCGATGAGAACCCGCCAAAAGTGGGGATTGATGAATGATGAGTTACACATGACATTGATTCGCATAGTAGCACTAAATTATATGGGAAGTTTATTTTTTTTGTTAGAGAGCATTTATGCCTCATCATTGTGTGACGAAAAAATAAATAAAGGTATCAAGGTATCAGATATAGTGTACAACAACTTTTAGCCCCACAAGTTGTCATTTTCCTTGGAACTTACTTTGGGATCAATTTCTATTTTTGTATTATTTTGAACTATATCATATAGTTTTATTGGATTTTTCACAAGGGGAATCTCATAAATTGCGAATGGGTGGTTGTTTTCGTTGGGGGGTATCTATCTCTCTTTCAATCTCTGTCATTTGGTGTTGTTGCTATTGTAGGGACATGTCAAAAAACTTATCGACAAAAGCTCCATTAGTGGGAGACATAGCAAGATTCAAATCACATGACTCTTGAAGCTGTGAAAGCTGTCGAGTGTGAACATCAGACTCGCCATAAAAATCCATTGTAGATCTTGTCATGAGACACAGTCCGATTCAAAATATTTTTCAAAACTCTCTAAATAGTGCCTGATTGCAATCTAACAATTTTGCAATGGACCCACCAATCCCTGTGAAGCAAGCTGGTTTAGGTCCAATTGTTTATTTTGATTGAAAATGACCGGATTTTTCCCCTAATAAAATGATCGATTATTTTATTTAGCTAAATATATATACCTTGCGTCTATTAAAGTATGAAACACATCTACATGCAAAATGTATAAAAGAAATTAAAGGCAAATGCATAGTTTGATGATACAACGACGACCATATGGCAACTTACTAGAACAATCTTTTTTGGAACGAAAATGAAAAATCAAAAGTGGAGATGCGGGGTATCGATCCCCGTACCTCTCGCATGCTAAGCGAGCGCTCTACCATCTGAGCTACATCCCCATTGCTTACGAGAACAAATTTGTCATTAAACTAGTTTACAAAAAAAAAAACTTATCTAAACCAAACCGTGTGAATATTTGGGTCAACGATACCGGAAAGCTCGGACAATTCAGAAAGGAAACAAATGAGACCGGAATTAATAAAAACACATCCAAAAGCGGCCCAATATCTGGAATTGTGATTTTTTTTCATAAATTAATTCAATTTGGTTTTGTTTTTTCTTAGCTCAGCAAACCATATATATATATATATATGTATTACTTCTCTTCCTCCGAAGATTTCCCTTTCGTTGCTGCTTCGTTCGCCGTCGTTTCATCCAAATTGCGGCTCCTTGCAGTGTGACGACGGCCTTAGCTTCATCCAATCATCGGAGGTTTCACGAGGAAGTCATAATTCACCCGTCGTTGAGCTCTTCAGATTTCGATCGGTGTCGAATTCGCTCTAGATTGTACGTTCTCTCTTCCCTTTCCCTCATTTCCTCAAAATTCGGAATCGCTGATGCTTAGTTTCTTCGTCACTGAGAAATCGAAACTCTTATAACGCCTGCGTTTGGATTTGGAGATCGTATCTAATGAGTTTCATTGTGGCATTTGAATCGAATAGTGTGAATTGTTATAAATTGACATTCCTCTTCGTGTTGTTGCGTGCTATTCTTATTCAAGCTTCCAATGGTAATTTGTGATTTGAGTGCAGGTCTTACATATCATGGACTCCATGAAAACGATTACTCCTTATCAAAGGAACAGAGATGCCTTGCTTCGCCTTGTGCTGAGGGGAGTGAGGCCAATGGAATCTGGTGTTGGTTTACCGTATGCTCCTGAGAATTGGCCTAAGCCCGGAGATACATGGCGTTGGAGAGTTGGACCGAGAGTTAACGGCAAAGGCACCTTTGTGGATAGGTACTTGTATCCTCCTAAGCATCTCCCAGAGTTTAGCACTGAGATACTGCGGAAAGGTAACGCATTCAGGAGCAGGCTCTCACTCGAACGCTACATTCGTCGAGTTTTCCCTAAAGCAGATGTTGCCAAATTCTTTGCTTCTTTCAGCTGGTCAATTCCCAGCACTGGTGGTCAGTTTCAATCAACTCTAGTCTTATGTTATATGCTAATAACTATATGAACATCACTCTGAACAAGTAGTTGTTTTCTTGTTTGACAGGCGTGGCTCAGAAGCAGTGTCTATATCCAGTGTATAGCTCAGATGAAGATCCATCGCGTGAGCTCAAATCTCATATTGCGGTTTGTAAGGCTGGGAATGACAAATGCAGCAGCCTGATCCCACCACCACCTATTGAAACCGAGCCTTTAACCACAATGCCTTGTGACATTTGCTGTAGTGAACCTGGTTTCTGCACTGAGTGCTCTTGCATCCTTTGCTGCAAATCGATAAGTTTGGAGCATAAAGGTTACAGCTATATCAAATGCGAGGATGTGGTTGGTGAGGGTATCATATGTGGACATGTTGCTCATGTGACCTGTGCTCTTCGAGCTTACATGGCTGGAACCGTTGGAGGCTCCATTGGTTTGGATGCTGAATACTACTGCAGGAGATGTGACGCCAGAAAGGACTTGGTTCCACATGTTCACAGGTTCCTGGAGATATGCCAGACTGTGAAATTTCAAGGCGACGTGGAGAAGATCCTGACTCTCGGTATTTGTATCCTGCGAGGCACACAGAGAAACAATGCTAAGGCACTACTGAGCTGTATCGAATCAACGCTTGTCAAGGTACAAACAATATACAGTGTAAAATGTTAATATTAATTGAATTTTCCTGAGACTTGTATCTTATGAGCCTAATCTTTTGAAGCTTAAATGCGGCTGGAGCTTGGAAGATGTTTGGAATGTGGATACACCAACGCTGTGGTCAGGTAAATCCCTCATCATGATCCTTTTCGTTGTGTTGAAGATGATTCCATGCTCATCATAACATATTATCTTCGTTTTGGTTGTAGATGTCTCTGACGTTGGAGAAGCTAGAGACAATGATACATTGCAAGGTCTACAAGACGTGACACCGATCGAGCCCATACCATTCAATCACGAGGCTGAGGCGCACAAACTAGAGGAAGAAATCCGCGATGTTCTGAAAGCGCTGAGAGAGGCTCAGGAATCTGAGTATCGAATTGCAGAAGCCAGGCTTCATGCTCAGAAAGAATGTCTCGTTGATCTGTATAGGCAACTCGAGAAGGAGAAGACAGAGCTGTCGAGGCGTGTATCAGGTAGAGATGGAGATAGCTTGTTGAATGATGTGTTGAAGAGATTGGATCAGATTAAAAAAGAAGCCACAAAGCTTAAGGAAATGGAAGAAGTAGCTAGGGGATTTGGACTAACGCCTACAGGGATTCTTGAAGAGTATTTTCATCTAAGAGTCGACGAGTAAAAAAAAGATCATATATTTTAAGCACAGCGAAACAATCACAATTGTACATTCGTTGTCTGCTAATTTTCCTTTGAATTTTTAGTGTCTCCAGAGTTTTGTTTGACCATTATTATACATAATCAAGATCTTGAACAGCTTTCAGTAACAATTTTCTTACAGAATAATAATTCAAATAAATGGGATTCAAAATGATAATGTGTGGAGTCTAAACTTGACAAATTGATCGTGATAATCATAAAGTAGAACAAGCATTATTGTCTTTGTCACGTCTCGTCTATGCAAGTTCGTACTGAGGAGTATCAATGGAAGCTTCACGGTTTTTACGTCTTTGTCTTCGTTGAGCTCTTTTCTGTTTCCGAGTTTGCGTTTTGCCTGAGACCTTGGGATTAACCGGCGGAGCAGGAACGTGCTCTGTTGATTCTGAACCACCACCAAATATAATGTCAAGAGCATCTTCTTCTTCCACCATTTCGCCATCCGAATTCCCCTGAAACCAAGAAAATTTCTCAATTATCAAACTGACGCGGTTTTAGAACTCAACAACGAAGATGCTATAGTACTACTTACAGAGCTATTCTGGAGCATCGGTTTAGTCTTTGAAGTATCAGATCCATGTGAAGTGCTTTGCCTATGAGGGTTTGGTAAGCCATTGGAGATTCTCTGAGGTTTGGTGGCTTCATCATAAGAAGCGGCGATTTCAGTGAAAGTGCTTCGTCTACGCCAACGCATTTGAGGTTTGTCTCCTTCATCGCTGTAAACAGCTTCAGGGTAGAAATGCTTGGACATTAGCTGCCATCTCCAACCTTCACCTCTATTGGACCTCACTAGCCTGTAGTTTCCGCCAAATCAAGAACAGAAGAATCAAAGCTAAGAAGGATACTTATAAAGATCCATCAAAGGGTCAGAATCTCTGCTTACACATTGACAAGCTCTTTCTGCATTCGTGTTGCATCTTGCCTAAGGATATGATCAAGGCATGAAACTGCAGTTGTCGAGCCCGCCTGATTCCAAGCAACAGCAAAAGCCGCAGTAGCCATTCCTACGTGAGGATATAACATTCAAAACAATGTGATCAAAGTCGGAAAAAAAGAAGTGAGAAACCATTAAATATTTTGCAAATACTAACCAGCTGTAAGAGAAAGCCTCAGCATTTTCAACCTTTTTGCCACTGAAAGAAAACCACCAGAGAAGCATACAGAATCAGAAGAGAAATTCAAAAGCTATTAACTCTTATAGATTTGAGTTACACTAGATAAGCAAACTCATGGAGCTGATTCATGATAGCCATTAAAAGAGACTTGGTGGAGGAATACGAACGAACCTTGCCAGCCTAAACCTCCTCCTACACCAGAGGCAAACCCAGCTGTCCACAAAACTTTGAGATGGCACGAGACTATGATACTAGACTCTTCCGGAGTGATCCTCTCCTATAACAGTGGTAAAGATATAGTTTTTATCCAAAATTTCAACAATTCAATCCAGAGAATCACACACATTCGCAATTTCAAATCCAACAAAAACCAGTAGCATCTATCAATTCTCAAACACATTAGAGGAAAATGAATCCAGCGGAGAAACAAGTCTACTTATTTAAACCAGTATCGATAAAAATTGGGGGAATCATCGTGAAAAGGAGCTAAGTTTCGGGATTATCAAGGGTTTAAATGGAGAAAAAAAATACAGTACCTTCTCGGGTTTTGTGGCGAGGACATTATAGAGATCCATCAAAGCGGCCAAAGCCATAGTCGATCCTCGAGAATCAATTCCCAGAAACAACGAATCGAGAAGCGATTCTCTCCTCCTGATCAAATGTTCAAAATTAAATCAGTCTCTCTCATTACAAGACGAAGCACGCTCACTGGTTCACGAAAGAACCGGTTCGAATCCGGTCAAGTTGGGTTTAATATAACTAATTTCACATTATACCGAAAATTTGTTTTGGGGTATTTAACACGAAAACGACAGCGTTTAAGTTAACCAGAAGACGTTGTTTAGCTTCTTTAACCTTTCAACAAGAACGACAGCGTTTTAGCGCTCTCCTACAAGCCACAGCCAATCAAAACTAAAATGAAATGAAAGATGTACTACGTTTAAGCTGTAACAGTCACAATCACTTGTTTTGTTCATAACTATGCCTAAAAAATGACAAGATGTCAATGCTTGAAATGAACAAGCAACAAAAGATTTACTTTTTTTTTTCTACATATCATAAGTTTCTAAGTTGGTGTCATTGTGCTAGCCTCTGATACTGATTCTCTATACAGATTCCCCGAGGCTGAAAACACCCACAAAAGCTCCCGGTTTACATTCTTTGCTGCCTGGAACATCATGTGTCTCAGTAGATCGACTGTAAGTGACAACAAACTCGAACTCTCTGTCACCGAGCTTTCTCTGTACTCAAGAATCCATGTGTTTGGATCTAGTTGCAGAACCGACGTGCTCCATTTGGTTTTCCTCCACGTGTTGTTGGCCTCACGTATTGAGTAACCGAATCTCCCTTCTGTCCACTTCAAGGAGAAGACAAGGAAACTTCAGTGTCACTAATCACTAATCACAATACACACTTTTTTTGACAAAACCAAAGAGGACAATGACTCATTCTGAATTCAAATTTATCCATCATTGATAAGCCAATCTTTTGCTATACATTTCCTATGTCAAGTCAAGACTTGGAGTCTATACAAACAAATACTAAAGAAACACATTTGAATCTGATAGTCAAATGGTTACCTCGGTTACTCGGCCGGATAATACGGTGATTGAACTTGAGGCGAATCCGGTACGGAACAAACCGGAAGTCTGCAAAGGCCATCCCCATATACTCACCTCTTCAATGGCGGATTTGTACACTACACACTTTGAGCTCAACATTGGACCATCCTTCAAAACATAATTTTCAAATCAGTCAACATAAAAATTGGACTACTTTGGGATAATACTGGAGATTATAAACTGTAAAAGTTAATACCTGATTGATTTTCCATTTCGAATTGGAAGCTCTGCAGCTCGAGAACTTTCCATTGTTAGCAAAACCTTTCAATTCGTCTTCCGTGATTCTCAGCTTCTCACCCAGATCATGAGCAGACTGAGATCTCTCACCAGCGCTCTTAACTATCTCCTCTGTAAATTCTGGTTTCAAAATCCCTTTACGCATCCAATTGAACCCTAATTCCAAACCAAGAACCAAACCAATTACCAAAACCACTTTCCGAATAACACGAATCAGTGGCCTTCTCTCGTTCTTAGTCTTCTTCCTCTGTTCTTCATCCTCGGAAACTTTCGATTTCTTTACCGATTTCTTCTTCGCCGGAGAGATCAGCTTCGAGATCGGGCGACAAACCGAAGCGGGCGTGGTGACGACACGCGGGTCAAACGAAGTCGGAGTGGATTCAACGGTGGATTTGAAATTGGAGGCGGAGGAGAGCTTAGTGAGGGAGCTTTTCTGTACACTCGGAGGCATGAGATCGAGCATCGCGTTGAGACTGTCGAGACAATCTTCGCAGCTGCAATTCGCGTCTTTGCGACAATCTGGGAAGTAACAGTTACTGTCTCTTCTCTCTGAATCTTCTTCCGTAGACAGAGTGTTAGTAGTCGTCGTCGTGCTCGATGCCATTGATTTCTCCGAGGATGAGACTGATATCTTTCCTTTCATGGCTTCTCTTGTTTTATCTGATTTTCGTTGTGTGATTTAAAAAAAATACCTTTTTTTTTTCTTCCCCCAGATTTCGTATTTATTTATTTATGTTTCCTTGATTTTGAAATTTAAATGTCAGGTCACAACGGTCCTCTTTTTTCGGCAGTTTTGTTTCAAGCAGACCTAATTAACACGTGTCTTTCTCTTTTCTTATGGATATGTATCTGTTTGCTTATGATTCATGTCATCATGGGCAAAAGATATTTATCTGTTTGCTTATAATACATTTTGAACACCTTGAGTTCTGGCCTTGACATGTATCATGCATACATGTAATTCTTCAATTAGTATAAACTGATTAGGAATTTAGAACTATAAAAGTGTTAAAATTAAGTGAACAATAAGTGCATCGATATCGTTTTAACGAAAAGTCAAGCGCTATTAATGACTCCCTACGACTAACTTAAAACACATCACGAAGTTCCTTCTCAATTTGCAACAACAAGTAATATTATCATTTTCTTCGAGGAACTGCTTCTTAATACCATAACAAGAATTAATCATCGGTCAAAAGCCAGCCCATTGAATGTTAACGAACAAACTTAACTCCAAATGATAACACTGTAGTACAATAGTTATAATGTGAATTGTTTTCTATTTAATGATTAAAAAAACAGTAGAATTCACATTTTTAGTCTGCGTATTTTTTTTGTTCTTATCAAATTGTTTTTGGAAAATGAAACACTTAACATAATATTACTCCGATACGTTTTGATTGATATAAAACTTGTTTATCAAATAAAAACAAATACTAAGTACTTTTCTTTTTCGTTTCATGATTCATCCTAAGTAAAGTAAGTAGCCTAACTTTGTGAATCTTTGTAGCGAGTTAAAAAAAACAATCAAACTTTCTTTGGAAACACCAACCAGCCGAAATACTTAAAACACGCGGCTTCTTCTACACCTAATAACAAGTATATTGTGTTTATAGTTGAACAAATTACTTTCTTTGGCAAAGAATTATGAAACTAGATTGTGTTGACACTTAACAATAGCAAACTAGGACTCGTTAATATAATCACGTTACGGTCTAATCCTTTTTTATACCGTCACGTCCCCATTTACCTACATCCAAATTTCAAATATTTCCTAATATGGATGCTAGTTATTATACTTTTATTGCCACGTAAGAAGCCAATCACAAACGCGGAGAAGGTTGGTCAAACTCAGAACACATCAAACTAGACAAACTTTAAGTGACATGAGATTTGTTGCATTTCTCTGGTAAAAGTTAGTTAAGGTAGTTGAGAGCATAAAAAAAGTCAATATCAAAACCAACTTCCAAAAAATACCTTATCACCCTTTTCTCTCCTCTATTTATATATCATCTCATACACACAAGAAATCCATAATACTCACACAAACACCCAAATGGACCACAAAAATTTCCTATTCGCAGCTCTAATCTTCTCTCTACTCTCGAGTTCTCCAGTATTGGTTATTGCTCAAATCAATACTCCATGTTCACCAACCATGCTCTCTAGCATGACAGGATGCATGAGTTTTCTTACGGGAGGTGGTAATTCTCCGACCTCAGATTGTTGTGAGGCCCTTAAGTCGTTAACCGGAACCGGTATGGACTGTCTGTGTCTGATTGTAACCGCGGGTGTGCCACTCAATCTTCCTATAAACCGAACTCTAGCTATATCTCTTCCTAGTGCTTGTGACATGCCTGGTGTCCCCGTTAAATGCAAAGGTATCTAACTTTTAAAATTGAGTTTTTTTTCTCTTATGGTGTTGTATATCTTTATACATCCGTATCGATATCTTTTAATCTCTAATTTTTATTTTTTACTGTAAATAATTGTGAAAATTCGCAGCTTCTGCAGCACCTCTTCCTGCTCCAGGTAAATTGTTTTTGTATCTGATAATTCAATTGAATTTATTTTGACCTTTTATATGTTAGTACTTCTTTTTGTTAAAAGCTCATGGTTGGTTCATAACTCACAGGCCCTGCGTCTCTCGGTCCGACCGCTTTTCCTACAGATACGCAAAATCCTGAAGGTAAAGTAAAACAATTCTTAAAAAAAATTGAAGTGTTTTAGTTCGAACTCCTAAACATTTTGTCATAATTTATTACTAGTAATATTTTTCGAGTTTTTTAAATCACGTAGACCAGGTGCTCTCGAACCAGCACAAATACTTTGTTTTTAGATTAACAGAAGCTCAAAATTCATTAATATATGTATTCACAACTCACAGGACCTGCTACTTTTGATTCTGGTCCGACCACTTCTCCTACGGATTGGCCAACTCCTCCCGAAGGTAAACAGAAACTATTTTAAATACTTAAAAAGGTGTTTTAGTTGTAAACATTTTCTCATAATTAGTTTGTAATATTTTCGAATTTTATTGACATTAAGTAGGCCAGGACCAGGATTATCCCGAATCAGGCAACAGAGGAAACCCGACGGCGTTAGCTCCTTCAGCCTCGTTGCCTTCCTCTTCGCAGTCTCTCATGCTTTCACTTCTTCTAATGGCTTTTGCCTTTAAGCTTATCAATTTCTTCTAATCAAAAGACCAAATACATATTATTAATGCTCTTTACTGTCTTATTTACATGTTTCTGCTTTAAAAAAAGTACTAAATTTATTTGTATTTGATGTTACCCCGTAACCTAGCAATAAAGAGTTCCACAATTTATCCACGCCAAATTAAACGTGATGCATTTAAAATGAGACGCTTCTAAAATCTAAAAACTAAAGGTTCAGAAAATAGACAAAGAACAGTATGCATGTGAACAAATCCAGAATAGCCTTTGTTCATTCACCAACATTTTTATCTTATTTTCCCGCAATACACTCTTTTTGTTCAGTTTACTTCCACCCATCAGACCATTCATCTTCCTTCTCGGCTACCAAATCACCACCATTCTTCATCTCTTCACCACCAACAGAACATTCTTCTTTCTCCTTCGTCCTAACGACATCGCTGTTCCAACCATCAGAACATTCTTCTTTCTCCTTAGTCCTAACAACATCGTTGTTCCATCCATCAGACCAATCTTCTTTCTCCTTAATCCCACCACCATAGTTGTTCCAACCATCGGACCATTCTTCTTTTTCCTTAGTCCCACCACCATTGTTGTTCCAACCATCAGACCATTCATCTTTCTCCTTCGCGCCGCCATTGTTGATCTCACCACTGCTATTCCACGCGTCATCTGCAGAGAATTGAGGAGCATTGTTGCTCCCTTCTTGATCAAATGGTTCCTCAACATATTCTTCCCGCTCTGGTAAATCGCATCCTTGGTAAGCATTATTATCCACACATCGCCACAAAAGCTGATTCCAATTCATATCCTGTTTCACACAACAGTTTTATATTAGCTGAGAGGTTGAGAATTAAGACACTGCATTATGTTTCTGTCAAGAAGAAGCAAAGCGAGTAGTACCTTGCATATGATATGTGGGTTTCCAATAATCACTAGCAGAGAGATTGCACGAGTGATTGCGACATTAAACCTCCTTGGATTGCTCAAGAACCCCAGACAATAGGCTCTGTCAAACTTGTCGTGTTTGATTGTAGATCTCACAGTTGAGATAATGATCACTTGTTTCTCTTGCCCTTGGAATTGCTCCACGCTACCGACTTTCACTTCGGTCATCTCTAACCTATCGAGCACCTCCTTGATCTTCATTACTTGCTGCCTGTAAGGAGTTATCACTCCAATATCCTCTTCTTGCACACAGTCATTCGCTGTTAATCTCTTGATTGTCTCTATAACCTTGCTGATCTCAATCCGGTTGAACCACGACGGATTGTTACCTTCCCTCTCATCGCATCCTTGGATCCCATAGAAAACCATTGGGAATTCTTTGTTTGGAAGGAATTTTAACGAGGCAAGAACAGAGTCTGTGTCTTCTTTTGAAGCTACGAGTTCTCCATCATAGAACAGCTTCGACGGGAGATCAAGAATCTCTGGGTGGCATCTGTAGTTCTTGACTAGCTTTGTCACATAATTCTCATCCTCTTCGCAGTAGTAATCGCACTCAAACAATCTTTCCAAGTACGATCTCCCCAAGCCGAGTGACTCAGCATCTCTCGAGTATATAACCGGACCCAACTGCCTTGGATCTCCAGCAAGCACAACCACAGTTTCTGACAAGCAGAGGTTTGATATAGCGATCATGTTTTCTGGCTCTGAAGCTTGACCAGCCTCGTCTAAGAAGATATGAGTGAAGTGACCACGTTTAACACCTTCTGCGTTAAGAAGGGACGCACTCATATATGTTGACACAACGAGTTTGTAACGATTCAAAGCTTTGAGAGGAGGGCACATAAAAATGAGCTCATCAAAGAAGCAAAAGCGGATAACCTCAGGCTTGATTTCTTCATATGCACGAGTAGCAGCATTCAGCCTGAAAATCTCATGGTCCTTGATGCGAACTCCCTCCAGAGAAAGGAGCTTCTCTAAAATGTGATCAGCTGCACTATTAGAAGGAGCACAGACAAGAATCCGAGCATTTCTCTGAGTAGTATAGAGTTGAACTATGGCCTCCACCAATGTCATGGTTTTCCCAGTACCAGGAGGTCCATGGATCACATATGGTGGTGCTCCTTTGCAGCCAAGAATCATTTCAACGGAACAAATCTGCTCCGCATTAAGAGCTGGTGAAATGGGAACAATGCGCTTTGTCTCTATCATCCTTTTCCCGGAGTTAAAGGATGGAAAAAGGAACTTTGGATCTAACTTGTCTGCAGCATCAACAGCCTGATACAACCTTCTAGTGTTGATCCGGTTGTATGTGAACCTCACATTGTAGACACTCCCAGTTGTGTGGCGTAGGTGAAACTCAGAGGCAAACTTCAAATACACTTCATCAGCCTCTACGCGGTGTACATAGCCCTGTGAGAAAAAAATTGTTTTCAATTTTATATTCACCAGAAGATAAATGCAGTTATGAGGCTGAAAGTGATCTCAAAGTAAATCAAGAGCAAAACCTGATAAGCTTGGTCAGTTCCATCATCATAGGCATGTCTAACAAAGATATAGTCTCCATGGACAAGGGAAGGTCTTCTCTCAGCAAGGCCAGGAACCTCAAGGGACAAATAGAGACCTCTTCTCCTCATAGAAACATTCTCCATATCATAAGCTCGCATGTCTTCCTAAAAAAATCACAAGAAACATGAAACATAATAGGTTCCTGCTATCAACAAAAAGTTTGAACTTGAAACAACGAGCATACCTCGAGTTGTAATTCCTCCATAACAAGTAAAGTCTTGAAGTAGTTTGAATAGTTCTTAACAGTAAGACCTTCATTAAAATCATCAGGGACTTCCTTTCTCTCAATCATCTCTCTAATCTCCTTTGGGATTTCATACCGAGGAAGCCTGTTCTTAAAACTACGCTGTACCACTTTCGAAGGACGCGATCCAGTCACATAACTATCCACAGCAAAATCTTTCTTTGGAGCTCTTCTGTTGTTTCTTGAGTAAGGCCTTGTAGTAGCAAGAGAGCTCGATATCTTATCCTCAGCCAAAAGGAAAACAACACGCTCAACGCTATCATCTCCCCACACAATGCTAACAACAGTGGTGTGCAAACCAATGTCCTTGGGCTTGCAAGAGACCCAAATGGTCAACGTATCACCAGGTTCAAGCATCCTGTCTTCCAAAGTAAAAGCTTCGTAAAACCCCTGTATCTCTCTCACGTTGGAATCTTTCGACGGTGGTTTCAAGATTGAGAGCGTGAAGGAATCCTTCGGGTTTGATGCGTAGATTTTGGGCCAGAGATCAATAGGCTCATCGGAATTGTTCTTGATGGTGAAGGAATCATAAGAAGTCTCTCCAACTGTTACAGATTGAGGCTTTTCGTTCTTGAAAGGGAAAGGAGCAGAGATAACAACTGGACCTTCGTCAAATGGATTGTAGCAACCTGCAGATCCATCGTTCTGGTAATCTATAAACCCAATCTCTCCCCTGTCCCCGATTACTGAGTATTCGTCGTCTGATTTGTCTCCAGCTACACTCATTGCTGATGAGAAGAATCTGAAACATGTTAACAAAATTCAGAAACTCTTTGGATTAAAACAAAATTACACATTTCTACAGCATGCAATCAGTGATGATTTGGTCGAAGCATATGCGAGAAACAAAAAAAACCCAGAAAAAAGTTTGATACCAGTGAGACTGATGAGTGATGAGTAACCAAAATTCTCAGGGATTGGTTTTTACGACGCTAACTTCATCTATATTCAAATGCACATCGAAGGGTTTTTAAGCTTTGGAAATCAGAAAAATCCCAGAGAATTCTACTGGATTTTGAGTTGCAGGAATTTAGAGCGTAATACAAAAACCCTAACATTGAATCGAAATTGAGCATGAGATGATCAAATGAAATTGATAAAATCCTGAGTTTTGGATAATACGTACTGAGTTTCTAACAAATTGGCTGAAACTCTTTGCTTCGATCACACCAGCAAATGAAGAAGCTTTCAAAGACGAACCAAAATATGAAAAGTGTGAGTGAAGACTGAAGAGTCGCCAAATTGCTAAAACTGGAATAAGAAGCACGTTGACTGACAATTGGGCCCTTTGGTTTTCATTTTTTATGGGCTTCAGAAGCATTCAGAGCCCAATGTCTTCTTCGATTATTAAGCCCATAATATCTTCATGAAAATGACAAACGTGACACGTGTGGCTTCATTGGGTATAAATACACTGCATTAACATTATCGTTTTGGTTCAACGGCACACTGAATTTACAACCGATTTTAAAATTCTATGCAGGTTACAGCTGTTAAAGAAGTTTTTGTAGTTGTTGATCCACGAGAACAAAATAAGTTCATGTGGATCTAGTTTTGGTCGTGATAGTTTGAGTGGTTTTCTCGTTTTATCTTGTTATTCCTATGCTGATAATGCATTGCTTATGTTCTAAGCATTGATATTTGGAGACCTAATTATTAGGCTCATGCATGTAAAGTAAATGTGATCATACAATGTTAATCCGCATCGAAATACTATAAATCATTATTGGTACATATCATTACAAAGTTGTAAAATCTACTAATTTAGATGATTAGCTTTAAGCCTTTGTGTTTAATGGAAATTACAGCGTCTTTAAGAAGGTTCATCATCGGTGTGAATCAAGAACTACAAACTCATGTGTTAAGCCCTACACAAAGAAAATGGTACTAATTGCTAACTGGATAGGTAACAAGGGGAATCTAATTAGAATAGGAGAGTTCATTTTTGTTTCTTTTCTCAATGAAGCGACAATATGTTGCCTCCCTTGAGGCCTTGAGTGTCTTTTCAAAGCCAGTGGCTTTTGTTCTTGTAAAGCATACAAATACTGAAATCTCTAAACACACAAATAATTTTAAAATAGTTCAACAATTTTTTTGTGGGATTGGTAAAAAAAACTGAATATAAGAGGCATGCTGTTTTGGTTAGTCTGCTAGCCTATCCTTTCCCGTTCTCAAAAGCCTATACCAATCAAATCGGTGTTCTTTATGCAACCTTGTTTTTATTCTAAGTTTTACAATATGCTTTGACCTTCTTTTGTAGAAGATACACTATACATCCTTGTAAAGATAAAATCATAATTTTACTTTACATTGACTCGTATACATCACATATATATAGATCAGTATTTGTCCTGAATAAAGATGGTTCTTTTCAAAGAAAAAGATTAGTGATCTAGCAACAAAAATAGTTAAATCCAAATTAGTGAAACGCATTAAAAGAAATCTTAAAATAATGGATTTTTTTTTCGTATTTAAAAAAAAAAAAAATTGGCTCGTATTTTGTTCTTGAACAGCAGTGCTTTCTTTCCCTTTTTTTATTCGAACGTTAATGATTTTTTATTTGAACAGTAATTCTCTTGGGAAAAACACAACTGATCATTGTCTGTGTAGTTTAATCATATGGCTCCAAATTTTACAAGAATCTTCGGTTAATAAAATATTGATAAGCGTTGTTGAGAATGTGATCAACAAAAGCTGAAAGAAGACAAAGCATGAGGAAACAGGAAAAAGACAAAGCATGATTTACACAAAACACTCTCTTCACTTTCAGGCTCTCTTTTTTGAGTTTTTAATCATTCCCTTCTACATTAACTGGTCCAGTCTCTGTCTCACACAAATATTATATTTTTATCAAAGTTATATACACAAATCGATATCTCGGTTTTGGGAAAAGTTTATAACGAAATTTTCCATAAGAATCTTTGAATTTGTGGGAAAACAAGAGTATCAAAGAATTCTGTGAAAACAACATTTCATCTGGATTTATCTTTACTCAAATCTTATCTGATTAACTTGTCATAGTTTCATTAAAAATGTACAATTAGGTTAAAGTACGCTGTTTTTTTCTACTTAGTCTGAATTTTTCAACTATGTTGCACTTTGGATTGGTTTAAGGCACCCTTTATTATTTCCTGATATCATTAGAGTTATAGTTCATGAAATAAAAACAATAATTTCATGAAATCCTTATTTTAAATTGCTCTCGATTGTTGGTTATGAACTTGTATCTAAATGTAAGATGGCCAGATGAGTAAATTACATAGAGAGCTAATATAATTACTGTTTAGTTTCTTATGTTTGATAGTAAGTTCCTAACGTAATTCCTCTGGCTTGTTTTTATATTAAAAAGTAAAACTAAATTTAATAGTGAAAACGAACAGCAGATATGAACTAACAAAAGTACAAAACACAAACTTTTTTCAGTCCAACGATCATTACGAGACGGCATCAGTTCACTTTTGCTTTTCGGCAATTTTTACAAAACAAAATAGAAATATAAATCTTTTGTATAATTTTCGTCACAAATTGACCAAAAGGTCCTAAACCTTATATAGAGTAATAAGCATTACAACATGATTATCTTGGGGACACATTACACTTGACAAGAAAACTATATTTTCCCTAATTGTGCTAATCAAAAGAATGAAAACTTAAAAAATCTATGAATAGAACAAAAAAATATCAAAAGAACTTCTATCTGTCCACTTGGCAGTTTCTGATTTAGGTTAGTTGATTGCCTGCACAAAGCAAAACACAAGTTGCGTAAAAAAAGTGTTACCGGGATAAAAAAAAGAGTGGTAATGATTCGATGATTATCAACTGAAATTGTTACCTTATAACGTTGCTGTATTTAAATCCAAAACCATCAATACAATCGCCGGTATGTGAAAATTGGTTAACCGAGGCCAAAATTATAAAACACTTTCTACACCTGCAAACCGAGAAATGACACGGTACGATCAGTTAAAAAAGCAAACCGGAAAGGGAAAATGTAAGAAACTACTTTAATAATTTGACCAACCTGTTGTTCCCTTTGAGTTAAAGAGGCATTGGAATGTCTCCATCACTCTCAAAGATCCAAAAACACTTTCGTTCACCTGAAAAAGCCAAACCATTCCTATGTTCATGAGTGAAAAAATATTCACAATTTCCTCAAAATGGCACAAAACAACTCCTCAGCATGTTCAAGAAACTTAAAATATCTGTTGAATTATGAAGACAGAGACTTGATAATATGCAGAGGACGACAACCTTATCAAGCTTTCAATGTTTGGGTTCCTTATCCGAATCGGTTTGCAATATCAAAATCAATTGGTTGATCTTAAATGAGGTGGCTCAGTTCTTGGCTGATATTGCACATTTAAACATAAATGCAGAGAATGATAGACTGGTCTCCACTCTCTACATAGACTTCCTAACTCTATATGAATCTCAGGACCACAGTTACTTGTGGACTTCTTTAGTTTTGGACAACTCATGTCACTGACATAGTGACTCATTTGTCATCTATTTATGTCCTATTTTATAAACTATAACCTTAGACGCAAAAGTACAGAGATGAGAAAGAAAAGTTACCGTAAAAAGAGCGGAAAAATGAGAATGTGTGTGTTTCTATTTCTAGAAGAAGCTGAGCTCGGTGTATCCACGGGAATAAGGCAAGAGCTCTTCAGCTTGGACTCGTGAAGTTGAGTAACTCGTGGTTCGTTTTAACCTATTATGAGCTGACTCAACCTCTGCACAGAAAATGCCATACACGGGTCTATGATCCGAGAACCGTGACTCTCCTCTTACGTAAGATAATTGATGCAGTCCTTCACCGTACCACAATATCCTATCGCACCTTTTTCAAAGAAAGAAAACAATCGTCAGATGATGAAAGATTCATATACAACAAGAAGTTACTGTCTTCTTGCTGTTAACTAACCAAGCAGGAGTGCGACGTTTCTCCTTGGGATGCAAATCGTCGCCAGAGTATCTATCTGAGTTTCTTGAGTACTTGTACGTTGGTGGGAAGTAGATCTTTCCTTCGTTCCATCCCTTGAACACATGGCCTCGTTTCTGCTCAATTCTTAACTGCAAGTAAAAACATTTTCCGGATCAGAACTTCTTGTGCCTTACTCAGACGACCCTTAGGATGTAACTTCTATTACAACAAACGTACCTGGTCGTTTTCTAGTAGAGCTCTCCAATTCTGCATCTCAACGAGCGCTTTGGCAGATCGGTAAGACAGTGCTATCCGGTAGTTGAGATCTCCAAGCCATATTATCCGGCTGGTCAAAAGATATGTGTCAAGAGACTGGTAAAGAAAAGGCAAGAAAGTGTTTCTTGAAGCAAGATGATCAATCTTACTCATGCTGAAGGATATTCTCAGGTGATTTTTCGTCCTCTGAGCTCTTGACGCGAGGAAACCTCGTTTTCTTGAGTATCTCCATGACATCAGAGTTTCTTTTAAGCTCATCACCTTCTTTTTGTCCCGAAGTCAAGTGAGTACAAACGAAGCAAAAGCTTGTTTGGTGTAGCAACATGCTTATTGAGATCGATCCCTACAAAAGAACCAAAGATATTAAACAACCTCACTCACAAAACAGAGCACTCTGTAGTGAAAGAACAATGTCTAACCTTGTTCCCAAGATAGCCCATTAGTCCTCTGCCCACACAAGACACTTTCATGTTCTTGACGTGTTCCCTCAGCTCGCTTTTCACCCAAATGGTCAAGAACACACCAACCATTTGCTTGCTTGCAACTAAACAATACTGCGAAGAGTTCCATGGGATCCTATACCCGTTGTCGTTTGCTGCAGAGCCCGGTGAGTACAAGACAGTGCTTGGAGAATCTCCAGTGCCATTATCATCATCTGAAGACCTTGAGAAGTCACTTGGCCGTGAATAGTCACTCGGTCTAGAGTAGTAATCACTTGGTCTGGAGTAATCACTCGGTCTTGAGTAGTCACTAGGCCTTCTCGAGTAATCACTAGGTCTTCTTGAGTAGTCACTAGGCCTTCTTGAGTAATCACTAGGCCTGTGACTGCTGCTGCTGCTGCCACGGAAGCTAGGGTCGAAGTCACTTGGCCTGTGGGTGAAGAAGACACGGTCACAGACGCTGAAGCGACGGTCAAGACCTGGCTGAGGCATTGAAGGATCGTTCCATGTACTACTTGGGGTCTGAAAAGACCGTCTGTGGAAGAAAGTAGAGTTCTTTTGCCTTGTGGATCCAGAGAAGTCAGCGTCAATCTCTGCAATAGGCACAGGGATTGGGGAAGGCGTGTGGTAACCGCTGGCTCCGCTAGTTCCTGGTCGGTTATTGAGCGTTTTCCGGATAAGGGAGAGCCATTTCTGAGCAGGTCCGTTGTCTTCAGCTCCGAGGACGTTACCAGCATTCAGAGGAACAATTTCTTGGAATCTGAAAGTGACCAGAAAGGAGGAAAAACACACAAGAACTGAGGAACAGAGTAAACGAAGTTCATTAGAAAGAAAAATGATATTTTGAAACATACCCGAGAACGTAGATATCTGCAGGAGCTGAAGAATGAAGCCAATCATCAAGGTTTAAGTCAGAAGGAGGAGAGCGTCCAGCTACGTTCCAGGTAGCAGTAAAAATGCTGCTCAAAGCAATTCAGTAGCAATGGATCATTAGTTATGACATTTTACAGAGATATAGCTGTATGTGTATGTGTGTAATTGTGTTTATATGTTACCTGTAGTTTTGGACATCAATGATCCTAGGATTTTCATAATTCATTCTCCTCTGCCGAGCTTGCTGCTCCCAGTTCTTACTGAGTTTCTCTGTGGAACCAATCATCAGTAAAAATAGTAAATCTTTTAATCTGATGATGTGTTATAAAAGGGTATGATTTTACCAGTATTGGTCTTCTTGATTGTGGAGGGGGCTTTCTCTGCTGAGAAACTACTTCTGTGCTCTACTTCAACACCTTTAATCAATTTTAATTAACAAATCAATATCAGAACCAAAGGAATTTAAAATTATCTCAGAAGAGACAAAATACAAAAACCGTAACGCTCCAAGAAAAAAAAAAACAAGAACAAGTAAACAAAAATTAGTTAAAGAAAGAGAGAGAATTTACCAGCAGAAGTAGGATCATCTGCTTGAAACTCCTCTGTTTTGCACTTTATGTTAAACCATTTCCTGACCATCTTCTTGGACCAGGCCAGCTTCATTTTAAGAAATTCATAAGAACAAAAGAGGAAATTTTTATGAAGATGAGCCAAAAAAGGAAAAATAAGGCCACAGATTTAGAGAAGATAGACAGAAAATGGAAAAACCTTGTTTGTCTTGGATTTGTCTTCTCTCATTGTTACTCCTTCTTTTGCTTCTTTACTACTGTGTGTATGTGTGGCTCTTTTTCTTTTTCTCCTTTAACAGAAACTCAACCCATCCATAAACCAAAAAAGGTTGGAAATGTTTCCCAAATTACCCAAAAAACACAACAGAAATCTTGAAAAGAGTTTGAGTTCTGTTTGAATCACTGCCAAAGTCGATGGGAATTGACTTGAATTGGGGATTTGATGTCCCTATGGACCAGACAGAAACTTAAAACAAAAGAAAGCTAGAAAAAACAGAATCTGGGTTTCTCCCTAAGAAAAGAGTGTAGATTAGATTAGATTAGTAGACTCTCTTTCTCTCACAGTGACAAAGCAATGAACACAAATGGTGGCCTTTTTCTTTTTTGTTATTGAGGGAAGAGTTTTAAAGAAAATGAGCAAAGAGAAGAGAGAGAGAGGTACTTAAAATAAGAGAAAGTGTTGAAGAGACATCAATTCTTGAAGTAGACAGAGGCGAGACAATGAGGGCAGATTTTAGAGGGAGAAAGTTAAAGTGAATGTGTAGAGAGAGAGAGAGGTTAAGTCCACAATGAAACGGCAAAGTAAAAGCAGCTGATTTTGAATGAAATAAAGTGCAGAGACTAGCCGAGTCTTTGCTCTGCCTCTGCTTTTTTTCTTTTTTTTGATAATTACGTATGTGTAGGAGTAATTTCGTATTATTGAATGTGTGTGTTTTTTTTTGGCAACTTTACAATTATTTAATGTAATGACTAATGAATTAGATTTCAAAACGAAAATTTAATATTTTGCAACGTCTCTTTTTAATTCAAATCTCATTAATTTAAAATTTTGTTTGCCAAGTATATTTGAAGTTTTCAACCCATTTGATCTTTTAGTTTTGTAATTTAGTCCATATATCTATGAAATAAAGTGAGAAAAATATCTAACGAATTTAAACTGAAAAATAGTACTGTGGAATAACATAATAATTTATTAATCTTGTAAAATTATAGGAAAAAGTGAACGTAAATCATGATTCTACGGAAATCCATGATTGATATAAAACATGCCGAGTGATTTTGTCAACTCTAGTAAAACAATTATCATTACGTCTTGTAATACAGCAAAAACGAAAATGATAAAAGAAAAAGTCGAGGCTTTTTCTTGTTATCAGTTACTAGTACTACTTATCACAATCATTTAGCCGATAAAATATACATATATTATGACTGATTTTATAGAATTAAATTATAAACAAGAGAATTTGAAACTAATGAACCAAGAGTAATAACAGAACTATTTGCAATTTTTTCACAGAGGTGCATGCGAATGTTGTGTATTGACTGATAATGCACGAGATAAAGCATATAAATTTAGAAGGATCCTATTACCCACTTATACGCCCGAATATATATGCAATAAATAACAAAGATTACATAATAAGCAAACTATGGTTAAAATCAAGAATGATTTTTGGTATGGAGGAGCAACACACTTTTTTGGCCGGTAAAGGATTGCAGTGGCATTTTTGTAATAACTTTTTTGGTTAAGCTTAAAAAGAGAGAACATTGACAATTCAGTTATGCAGTAATACAGCTCGGTGAATTACAATAACATTTCTTGCCGAAATTGGTTCAATCTTGCATCGAGATCAAATAAACCAACTGAATATGTTTCCATTTTTATTTGTTTTTGGTGAGACTGAACAGTAAGGTATGCGAAAGTGAGTTTTCAATTCATCGAATAATGTTAGGGTGACTTTGGATGAATTAACACTACTTTAGCAACAAAACAAAAACAATATTTTTTTTTCCGTGAAAATAACCATACCTTGTAAAATATAAAATCAAAATGATGTAAACCTATGTGAAAGAAAATATCGTAGATAATATACTTATACTTGTAGATTGTAGTAAAGTATCACATTTTCTTCTCCAAGATTTTGGTCTATCAAAGAAAGTAGAAAAAGCAAAAAAAATGATACTATTAAACCCTAAAAAGGAGAGAGAGAGCCAGAGAGGTAGATGGGAAAAAGAGAAAGAGATAAAGAGGCCTCTGTGTCTTCTTCCTTTGTTATACTTGCCATCTCATCTTTCACTTTCATTTTTTGTTTATTGTCTTGCTCGTTTTCTTTATTTTAATTCTGTGTTTCTGAAGTTCCTAAATTTGGATGATTATTTTATGGGTTTTAGATTTATACTTTCCTTGTAGCACAAATGTTGGACACAAGATACTGTATTCAAGTCCACTCACCACTGATATCAGGAGTCTGCGCTCCTTTTTCTGTATTTTTCTTGAGACTCCCAATTTTCGCCATCTTTCAAGTTTCATCTCTCTCACTTACATGTTTTATTTCTAAAGAAAGATGTTACCAATCGTATATAAAAATATTTTTGTAACCACCTTTTTATGTATTAAAATTAGTAACTCACTACTCACTAGACATCATGGTCAAGTGTACGTAAAACAATCTACAAATGAATGCTCAGAACTTATAAGATCTCGATCAAGCTATATAAGATGATTCGCTATTAGACACTATAGACAGAGACATTTCGAAAACTTTATAAAGAAGGCCTCTAGATTGAACATTAACTATTGATATGATATGATCCAGTCAATAAATTTAGAAATTCAATGTAATATTAATATTTTGATTAAATGCCGCTAACCAAAAAAACAAGTTGTTATTTAATCCCATTAAATCCGTGACAATTCCACTATCGATTCCTGAGATCCCACAAACCTTATGTGTATATAAACTATTCATGTAAACAAAATTATATACCTAACTTAACCAAAAGAAATACGGAAATTAATTAAGAAATTCGTAATGGCCTCCTGACGGCGGAGAATTCCATGCTGGGGCAGCCCAATACCAAGATTAGCTCCACCATATGATTAAAACTATCCGCTTAATCCAATAAATTTTCGATGTTGGGAAATTTAAATTATAAAATCTGCAGAAACTAATCAAATAAACTGATCCAAAATACTTAAAAAATACCAAGATTAGCTCGACCATACATCGAACACTCATGAATGCTAGTCATGATTAGCATCTACATCATTAATTCGTTTTGCTAATTGCTTTGCCCCATCAAGATACGTCCGTAGTTGTTTACGGACAATGGGAAACGCAATATCGAACATATATGTGAACAATAACAGTTATATACTTGACCAACGCATAGATGATTAATCATATACACTATTTAAACCACTTTCAACATTGTTTGAGTATTCTTAGACACGTTTTAAAACAATAATTTTCCCTTGTTATTCAATTAGTGTTTACTGACTTCTAATTATCAACACATGCTATATATATCGCAAACACAATTATTTGCCCCTGACCAGTGAAGAAGCGAGTGGTAAACACTAAGTAGAGCCGTAGAGGAATACACACCTTTATTGTGTCGCATTTGTAATAAGATCGGAGGTTATATATGCAAATGGATTTATTTTGCTGTTGGTTGCATGTACGCTAGAAGTTCTCTTTCGTTTTGTTTAACGGCCTATGAATTATATGAGTGGACTTTGATTTTATTGGTATCTAATCAGCAGGAATATTATCATTAATTTGTCTCCACGAACTAGTAGATGACGCATACTTTCGCATTAGATGAACACTAGGCAATGCATCTTCCTCTTTTACAAAAATAACATATTTGTCAAAAATAGTCACTATTCAAAATTTCATTTACAGGTGAAAGAAGAAGGGGAAAAAGGCAAAACGTACAGTGTGAGCCAAATATTTCGAAAGAAGAAACAATAGAGGGCATGCATGCAACACATATTTATTTTAACAAGTTTTTTCGTTGCTAATCAAATTTCCACATCCGGAAATTCGGAATTCAAACATCAAACTATGGCAAATCTTTGTGTTACCACACAAAAAAAAAACAAAAAAAAAAACAAAAAAATGAATAGATCGAATTATTAATGAAAACTTTTATTTTTTGGTATTATATGTGCCAAATTGTTTAATGGGCGAAAGAACAAGGGACATGACCAAGTGGTGTCAAATGGAAGCGCATTTAAAATGTTAGTCTATATTTGTCATCTCCAATACAAAAGGGATATCCCTTAATTTGGATAACGTTTTAACACTTTTTAACTCAATCTACAAACTTTTAGTTTCATTCTATGCTTAGTAAACATGATACTAATCCAACACAAAGTGAAAGGATGCACTGTCACTGGTTTTCAAGAGACCGACGGAAGATGTCAATTAACTTCTCCGAAATATTTAAGTCGATAACCTAATTTTTGTTTTGTAGAAAACATCCTAGAGATAACAGACATGTGTAATTTTCTTCCACATACTTATTAGTATAGTATATATCATGTGTCGTAATCACTTTAGTTTTCCCCATAGCATCTCTTCACTTTAATCTATAGTTTGATGGTACGTATAAACTCTTAATCATTATGCCAAAGACATTTTCACTAATGTTTATGAATCCATAGTTTATGATAATCATGAATTGACATCCGTTGAAAACGTAGTTCTAGTATATAAGATGCTTTTGTTTCATACTCACGGGTTAATGAAACGAAGTGGACAAAAGTAGCTAGATTGCATGGTTTCACATGGTAATTACATCTAATCACCAAAGCTCAAATTCATTAAAAAGGAAAACACAGTGAAGATATTGCTTTTACTTTCTCTTTTGAGTACAAATCCCATCTCTTAAATTTCAAGTTTTACGAGGCAGTCAAAGCAAAGATTCACCTAAATTTTATTCATATATAAAAAATAAGAATTATATCGTATATGCATTTGTTCTTTTGCTTTAATTTTGGGGAGACCCCCACTCTTTCTTTATGTTTGCTTGTAGGCTATGTAATGCCCGTTTGTATCTAGACTCGGGTCACATAGCATTAATTTTACAGATTTTTTTGGAACAAAGCTTAAAAATCTCAAAATATAGACACATTTTGGATAATGTTTACTAATTTCCGAAAGGTAAACAAAAGTTCCGAAACAAAATTAAAGCAACCTCAAATATATAATATATGAATCCTTTTATTTTTGTGAACATCTTCAACCCAACAAAGAAACATATTGGGCTTCTGTCTGGCCCGAAATCTGTTATAGGGCGGAAAAGTTTCTTTGGTAATGAAATTGGGTCCCTGCAACCCGGTTTCGATAAACCGGTCCGGTTAAAAATACCCTCTCTCCATCTCTTTGCAACAGAAAAACATTTGCTATATACAAGTCAAAGTTCATAGCAAACAAAGCAAAATGGAAACAAAAGCAAAGTTTTTTTCCGAGGATGAAGAGACCTAAAAAGTATTCCACAAAAGCAAACCACAAGTCTTTGAAAACAGAAATAAGCAGCATATGATATTATAGGAAGAGATGATGACGACTTCACGGCATAAGTACGCTGAAACCATCAACTAAATCTGCTTCCTTTGGTTGGACAATGAGGTTGTCAAACATGTCTCCAAGCTTCAGATGCTGCACCATAGTGTCCAACACTTTGTCTTCTGTCACAGCTTCAGCAATCTTCTCTTTCCCCTTATCATGTCTCGAAGAACACGCAAAGACCAGCTCTGAGATTCGATCCTTTCGTGCTTGCTTACAGTACTTTGGTCCCTCAGGCGTTCCTTTTGCAACCAAGTGATAAGTGTATACGATCCTCTGCTGACCGATCCTGTAAGCTCGGCTTATAGCTTGTCTCTCCACTGCTGGATTCCACACAACATCCAAGAGAATCACTCTCGATGCTCCCACCAGATTGATCCCTTCAGAGCATGCCTTTGTCGAAGCTAAGAGCACTTTAGCTTTGGATTTTGGATCGTTGAACTCGTTGATCAAGGTTTGTCTCTGTTTCTGCTCGAGCTTGCCGTGCATGTACAACACTTGTTCCCCTTCACGCCAGTTAAACCGAGAGACCAGATGCTTCATTATCAGTTTCAACGGGTCAATGTATTGGCTGAAGACAAGCACTTTCTCCTTGATCACTTCGCATAGCTTGATGAACTCCATGAGGAACCTCGTTTTCACGCTTTGGTTTGGATCGAATCTTATCTTCTTCAGCTGTGCAAGCAAAGCGTCGTCAATGGTCAGACGTTCTTTCTCAGTGAGTTTGCAGTGAGAAACAAGAGAAGGATGGACTGAGACCAAAGACAGCTTGTGTTCCGTCTCGAACACGTTTTTGGTTTTCTGGTTATGAGTGACTTCTATTGATTCCAGGACTCTCTTCTGCAGCTCAGGTGGGTTTAACACCACAACACATTCTCTCAAACCAGGGAGGCTCTTCTGAAGGATGCTTCCTTTATGAACATGCACAAACGGAAGCATAACAGTCTTAAGCTCTTCGATCCCACGGTTGTTGATTTCGTCCCCGAAAGCTCTCTTCCCTCTTTTCGTTACAGTCATGCCACTCTTCTTCAGTGTGGATGTGAGCCTCTCAAGATACTTTGGTCTCGCAAGCCCCAAAACATTGCAGAGCTCCTGGAAGTTGTTCTGGAAAGGAGTTCCAGAGAGCAAGATACGTTTCTGTGTTTCCACTTTGGACAGTGTCTTCCAGATGCAACTTCTCTGGTTCCTTGGCGTGTGTGCTTCGTCAAGAACAAGCAATCCAGGCATCCCCATAAGTATCTCTCTGATATCTTCCAACTCTTTGTCTGGTTTCACTTTCCTCGCTGACTTTGTCTTCTTGTCCTCGTCTTTAACTCCTGCAAGCTTCTCATAGAGGTTGTAGCTGATCCCCAATATGCTCTTTGATTTGATCCAAGAGTAAATCTTCACCATCCTTATCTCATTGTTGGTTCTAGCACTCGAGTTCTTCTGCATCAAAAGTCTTGACGCAGCTGCGTTCTCTTTCCCAGTGAACTCCAAACTGCTAAGGTTATGGAAAGGAATGCTAACCTTCCATTTCTCGAACTCCTCTGCCCAAGTGAGAAGCAAGCTTGCAGGAGCAATGATCACCGGTTTGCAGTTTGGGAAGCATGCCAAGTAGGCCTGAAGGAAGATGATGGTCAGGCGAGTTTTCCCTGTCCCTGGAGCGTGTGACATGATGCATCCTCCGGTTTCATCGCTGTCCTCAAAGTCCTTGAGCTTGTTCAGCTCAATAGTACCGGCTAAGTTCCTCCAGATAAACTCAAAGCCTTCTTGCTGGTGAGGATACATCTCAGACTTGACACCTGGGATCTTATCCCAAACAGTTCCTTCAGTAGAAGCAAGTCCATCATCTGATCTGTTCTTGTCAAGAGCTTCAACCCCAAGTTTCTCAACGAAGCTGCTTCCTCCTTCCTCTTCCCATCTATCAAATTTTCTCCTCCCACTTGTGGTCTTCTCTCCCTACAAGAAGAAACATACATACACTAGAATTAACCATCAAATGATTTTAGTTAACCGTTTCAATCATTTAAGGGATAAAAAACTGAAATCCTTACCCACTCAGATACATCCATGCCTCGGATCTCTCTCTCCACATAGCCGCAGTGTATACACTTCAAACCGATCTCAAGATCTATACATAGATCATGCTTCCCTTTTTTACACCGTGCTTCGGGAGTTTCATCAGTTGCTATCTCTTTCTCAATCTGCAAAGACTTGCCAAAGTTAGATTTGCCATGTTCTTAAACCAAAGTAGATAAAGAAAAAACTGTTTTGTAAGAAAAAACAAGAAATTACCTCTGGAGGAAGCTGGATGCCAAAGTCGTTTGATTTACTGAAATACGCCATTTCTTCCCACAGCTTACCTTCCTCTATCTCCCACTCAGAAACCTCAGGTGGTGATTCAGGTTCCTCCACACCAAACCTCTCTATCAATGGTGGTGGCCTAATGATTAAAAGTCCATCATCGTCATATCTTCTCAGCTCTTCTTCTTCAGATTGGTCATCAAGTGAAGAAACCAGATTGTCTTCTCCTTCTTCCTCATCTTCTCCTAATCGACCTTTCTCCCATACTGAGTTCACAAGAAGGCTGAAAAGATCGACTTCTTTACTACGGCTTCCATCCATCATTCTCCATCCCGCGTTGTTAACAGACTTGGCGACCTCTTTGTCTTTCAGCGTAGGCTCAGATTCATATCCAGATTCATCTCCAGAGCTGATAGACCAAGCAGACTCGTTATCAACTGGTTCATTAGCCAAAGCAGTCTTATTTACTCCTTCTGCAGCTTTAACTCCAACTTCAGGCATCCTCGACCACAAGCTGTTGTTGGCTTTCTCTGAATTCACAAGTTCAGGTCTGGATGTGGATGGCTTTTCTGGTGCCTGGACCTCTCTTGCTTTCTCTGAAATCACAGTCTCAGGTCTGAACGTGGATGGCTTTTCAGGTGCTTGGACCTCTTTTGCTTTCTCTGAAATCACAGTTTCAGGCCTGAATGTGGATGGCTTTTCTGGTGTATTCACTTCTTTTCCTGTCCATTGCTTATGTATTTCAGGTCTGGCTGTGGATGGCTTCTCAGGCGATTCCTCAGAGTTGATAAAAACAGAATCTTCATAAGCAAAGTTGTTGCTCATATCATAATCTTCAGCTCTTGCTGCAGCAGCATGTGGTCCGTTGAAAGAGTTGTGAGGTTCAGGGATTCCTGTGTTCTCTTTGCCACAGTGAGTACAGACAAACACCGCATTGCTCTGCTGTTTTGTCCCTATTTCAACTTCTTCTTCTCGGTGGTTTAACTTCTGGATTTTCTTGTCCACTTTTTTTGTAGGCTGCTTTTGAAATTTATCTTCTTCTTCTCGCCGCTTTAGATTCTGAAACTTCATGTTCTGTTTTCTAGGCGTGGTTGAGTAAGGAGCAGTCCTTTTGTACCTTCCCAAAGGCTTCCTTCCCGCTTGAGAGACTCTTTTTTTGATTGGTGAAGTAGTCTTTCTCAAATCATCATCATCTGTGTCTCCAACTACCTCCATTGAATTGATCCCATCTTCACTCGATGAGGAAGATGACGATGAAGATGATGATGATGATGATGATGGTGGTGGTGGTGATGACGACGATGATGACGATGATGATGACGATGATGATGATGAAGATGGATCATCAGAAGACAAAGAGTGCACTATTACACTATCTTGATGTTTTTCTTCCTCTTCCTTGGTTTCACTTGTGCTGTCTTCGCCATCACTGGTTTTGTCCAAGACTCTGCTACAGTCGTGAAAAAGCTTCTTCTTGGCTGAACCTCTCGCTTCGGTGTCAGAAGCAGAATCTGAAATGATCTCTATGTGAGGAACTGGTTTTTCGACGGCCAAACCTCTAATCTCAGAGGAACACTTATCCTCCACACATGTTGTCTTCTCTTCAGAACCATGTCTCGACCCAGAGGAGCTTTGAACAGCTGATTTCTCAACATCCAAATCCACATCTCCAAACAAGCTCTCCTTCACACATGTGTTGTGTTCAGACCCATGTCTTGACCCAGAAAAGCTTGGAACGACTGATTTCTCCACATCCAAATCCGTACCTCCAAATAAACTCTCCTTCACACATGTGTTGTGCTCAGACCCATGTCTTAACTCAGAGGAGGTTGGAACAGCTGATTTCTCCACATCCAAATCCATATCTCCAAACAAGCTCTCCTTCACACATGTGTTCTCTTCAGACCCATGTCGTGACCCAGAGGAGCTTGGAACAGATTTGTCCACATCCAAATTCGCAACTCCAAACAAGCTCTCCTTCACACATGTGTTCTCTTCTGACCCTTTCCTTGACCCAGAGGAGCTTGGAACGACTGATTTCTCCACAGTTAAATCCGTAACTCCAAGCAAACTCTCCTTCACACATGTGTTCTGTTCTGACCCTTGTCTTAACACATAGGAGCTTGGAACTAATTTGTCCGCATCCAAAACCATAACTTCAAACAAACTCTCCTCCTCACATGTTGTCTTCTGTTCAGACCCATGTCTTAATCCAGAGGAGCTTGGAACTGAATTCTCCACATCCAAATTCGCAACTCCAAACAAGCTCTCCTTCACACATGTGTTCTCTTCTGACCCTTGCCTTGACCCAGAGGAGCTTGGAACTAATTTGTCCACTTCCAAAACCATAACTTCAAACAAACTCTCCTCCTCACATATTGTCTTCTGTTCAGACCCGTGTCTTAATCCAGAGGAGCTTGGTGCTGATTTCTCCACATCCAAATCAGTACCTCCAGTCAAACTCTCCTTCACACATGTGTTGTGTTCAGAGGTTGGAACAGCTGATTTCTCCACATCAAAATCCGTATTCACACATGTTGTCTTCTGTTCAGACCCGTTTCTTGACCCCGAGGAGCTCGGAACAATTGCTTTCTCCACATTCAAATCCGTAACTCCAAGCGAACTCTCCTTCAGACATGTGCTGTGTTCAGACCCATGACTTGACCCAGAGGAGGTTGGAACAACTGGTATCTCCACATCCAAATCCATACCTTCAAACAAACTCTCCTCTTTCACACGTGTTATCATCTTTTCAGACCCATGTCTTGACCCAGAGAAGCTTGGAACAACTGATTTCTCCACATCCAAATCAGTAACTCCAGTCAAACTCTCCTTCACAAGTGTGTTCTGTTCTGACCCTTGTATTAACCCAGAGGAGCTTGGAACAAGTGATTTGTCCACATCCAAATCCAAAATCTGATCAGATAACTTCTCCTTAATACTTAACCCAGAGGAGCCCGGAAGTGATTTATCTGCATCTACATCCCTAACCATACCGGTGTGACTTACTTGGTCAGCAGCAGCAAGATTCTTCTCGTAAATCTCTGTAATGTCTTCAACGTCTGAGTCATAGTCTGTTGGTTTTGGTTTTCTTCTTCTCCGCTTTCGTTTCTTCTGGACAGGAGTTGCTTTTTCCTCCATCTTCTTCCGCTTATTCACCACTTCAAGACGCTCCCGGTTCCGTGACTTAATTCTTGTCCCAATCGTGCAATCCATTAGAAACCAAAGCAGAGAAACAGATCTGAAAAAAGAAAACAGAGCGAGAAAAGAGAAAGACTTTTAGCAAACTATGAATCTAACAAAAATGAAGAAGCAACGGTCAAGAAACACACAGAGAGAAGGGAAAAAAACCTTAAATCGGTAGAGAAGACGATGCTGTGTAAGAGAGAGTGTCAGAGAGAAGGGGAACAAGAGGTCCACTCAAACGCAAGAAGAACTTCAAACTCCTCAATCAAACTATCGGAATGGCTTCAGATCTGATTCCAAGGATCGAAAACAAAAAATCAGCTTCAGTCACAGTCAGTGAGAGAATTTGATTTTGCTTTTTGGGAGAAATTAGGTTATGCTAGTTTCAGGAAATGGACAGAGAGAGTGATGGGGGGAAAGAGAAAGAGACAGAGAAAGAGAGAGAGAGAGGGCATGAAGAAAGCGTGATGACAAAGCCATAGACTGCTATTTTCAGGACTCATACCGCCAAAAGTTTGACCCAAAACGTACTATTTTCAACACTCGCTTTCTTCTTTCGTCCATTTTTCTTGCTTTTCTAAACATCACCTCATTAATCAGTTTCCATTTCAAGGTTTGTTTGTTTTTTTTTTTTTTTTTTATTACTTTTTTACCACTCTGACATCATCATCATCAGAACAATTAATCGTATCCGTTGGTTTTCGTTAATTAAAGCATACAAATCGTCCCTTATACGAAACCTAAATAATGTAATTATTATTTTTAATTAAAACACAAAATTCGTGTAATAAATGTCATCTTGCATTTGATGTGATTGTTCACTTGTATTTGTTTCGATATAAATCCTTAGTTCACACTTCACATAAAAGAGATTCGTTGTTAAATGGAAAATTCCAAATAACAGATTTTGAATTATTTTCTTAAAAACAAATTCTCAAAAATCAATAAAGCAAACCGGTACATTTTTGAAACCAACTACTTTACTGGCACTTATTAATTCCAATATTTATTAAAACATGAAAAGTATTGATTTATGAAACTGACATTATAAATTACGTTTGCTTCACAGATTCATAAAGAAACCAAGGTCTCGTCATTTGTATGTATGGCTAAGAAGAATTTCCTTTCTCAATATCTTTATAATGTTATAATATTGACATCACAAAGCATTACTATAAACACTATGCAAAATTAAATGATCTTGGTACTTGGTCATCATCATCAGTTCATCACTACAAAGGGGTTTAGCAAATAAGGAAAAAGGCTACCGCTAAATTCTGCAAAAGTCAAAAGATAATAATTTGTCGATGTGACCATTTATCTATGTGCACAAAAAAGAAGAAGACCATTTATCTCTAAATAATAGTCATCCAAACTTTCTAAGGAATAGAGCCAGGGAAATGTTTTAGATATGCATTTATCCGCTGACGGAGAGATTTACAGACGCAACTTCTCGTATCAGTTTAGAGTTTCTTACATGTTTGAAAATTTATTATCTTATAGAGGTATTACTTTATGAATAAATTCAATATTCATGTATTCTCATAATCTTCGAAAATTATTCTCGATATGATAATATATTAAGAAATGAAAATTATTTATTCATTAATATGACATATATAAACTTGAAATTATTATCAAATCTTTTGGATATCATAATAAAACATATATTATTAGTTTCTATAAATATTTATTTATATAAAATTTGATACATAATAAATGTTAAAATTTTATAAATAATTATAGCTACTAATGAAGTTGAAAATGATATGTTTAGAACATATTTAACAATTTTACATGCATATAAAAATTGCATTATGAGTTTTTTATATAAGAAAAAGTTAAAGATAAACTTCAATTCATAATTTAATAATTGGTTTAGGCATATACAATGTATAATTTTATATAATTATTACTTTAACTTATAATTGGGACCATATTTTTACATAGAGTTTCAAAAATATTATTATCTTATCATCTTATCGCATTTTGCTTATTTTTACATTGGCCCGAATTGGGACCGGAAAATTTATTATCTTATAGTGATTATTACTTTATCGAGTATTACTTTATAGAGGTTCTACTGTATATATATATATACGTGCACCTTATGGGCCTGTCTAATAGGCTATTAAAGTATGGGCCTGAAATCAGCCGATCTAAAACGTTAAGGCCCTTAAACGGTGTAAGAGATTATTGCTGAGGAACCAAATTGGGATTTATTTAGGTGGGTGGATAAATTAGTGTGAGGATTAAGCCCTTGTGAGCTTGATTCAAAAAAATGTCGGCATTTTATTTTCTTAAAATTAAAAGATTGTTATACGTCCAAGTCAAATCTCTCCGTAATTTACCAATTGTATGACGTGGCGACTATTTATTGGTGCTAACGAATGCTTAACCTTTTCGTCTGCGACCTTTTTTAATGCGCCCCATTTTTCTTTAATCTTCTTCTATCTCCTCGTCCGACTACTAATCTCTTAATTAACTGAGAGTCTTTCACTAATCCCAATTTGAATCAAACTATCTTTTTTGTTTGGAGAAAAAATACAATATCACTTTCTATCATTCTGTTCGGTCTGAATCTGGCGCAGTACTAAAATAGTACGGACATTGCAATTCGAAATCCGGCGACGAAATGGGGTTCATAATCGGCCTTGTAGTCGGACTCGCCGTCGGAATCACCATCATCATCGGCTTTGTCAAGGCCGAGAATTATCGATCCAAGCTTCGCTCTGAGCTCGTGAGTGTCCTCGCTGTTTCGCTTTACCTTTTCTTTGAACGATTCGCTTTCCCGATTTGGTCAGCTCTTAATTCGGGATTTGTTTCTTTTATCAGGCGAATACGGTGGCTGCTTTCGCAAGGATGACTGTGGAGGATTCGAGAAAGCTTTTGCCAGCTGAATTTTACCCTTCCTGGGTCGTCTTCTCCGAGCGTCAGAAGTTAAGTTACCTACTTCCTTGAATTGGTTTGGTAAATGAAAAAAGTTGTAGAATTTGGGTTTAGGGACTGATCTCAGTTGCTTTTGGCATTTGATTTACTTCAGTTGACTTGGCTGAACCATCACTTGACAAAGATCTGGCCTTATGTTAATGAGGTATGTTTGTTTTGTCCTCGATTTGTTTTTTTTTTTGTCAAGATCGTTGAGTGAGAAAGGTGTGATTTTTGTTATTGTTTCTAATGGAGAGAGTTTTTTTTATCTCATGTTTCTATTCATCGGAGTTTAGGCGGCCTCTGATCTTATAAGGGCATCCGTGGAGCCTATTCTCGAGCAATATAGACCTGCCATTGTTGCCTCCTTAACTTTTTCTAAGCTTACTCTCGGTACCGTGGCGCCTCAATTTACAGGTTTGTTTTCTGAAATGTTAACTAAATTTGTCTTGTGAGGTACCAGAAACTTGTGCAATTGAATCATGTTTGAATTGGCGGTGAAATCCCTTTGCTTTTCGGTTTAGTTGAGTCCATCTTTAGCTTGCATTCCTGTCCAGGCTGTTATTATTTTATGCGTCTCCACTTTGTAATCTCCTGTTCTGTAATAGTCGTTGAGTTCATGTACTAAGGGGAATTTATAGGCAAGTGAATAAAAGAATGACAAGTGCTTTCAAATTCAACTGGAAAAATAATAAACAATGGCTGCGCTATCCATTCTTTACATTTCTGTGGATTCTGTGTCTAAACTCCAAAGTTTGCAGCTATGAATTGATGAGCCTGGTTGTGCTCCTCTGTGTTCTTTTAGGTGTTACCGTTCTCGACGGTGATAAAAATGGGGTGACGATGGAGCTTGATATGCAATGGGATGGGAATCCAAATATAGTACTTGGCATCAAGACCTTAGTTGGTGTTTCTCTTCCAGTTCAGGTACCTCATGATTCGTGCCTCCCTTCCATTTCTTGTTTTTATATACTTTGAGATTAATGCTTGAAAAGGCCTCTTGGCGTCTAGTTATAATGTTATAGTCTGAGCCCAAGTAAGAAAAGGTGTTTGCTTAAGCTTTAACTAAGAGTCTGGATTAATTTTGGTTACAAATTGATATGCAAATAAAGAACCAAGGCAGAAATAGCTACTGATTATTTACTTCTTGTGACAATGTAACTCCTGCAAGATATGTATATTTTTTTGCACAAGTTCAATTTGGGAAATAGTTTATGTGGAAGTAAATAGGCTTTTTAATATCGGTTAATTATGCTGTCTTGCGGATATTTTGAAGGAAATACTGATACTTTTATGTGCAGTCTTTTTAGTTTGTTCAATGACAAGCTCTGTTTATAACTGATTTCTTAATTCTTTTGATTCCTAGGTGAAAAATATTGGATTCACTGGTGTTTTCAGGCTGATTTTTAGGCCACTAGTTGATGAATTTCCTTGCTTTGGAGCTGTCAGCGTCTCTCTTAGAGAAAAGGTGGGTGCCCTCTAAAGCTTTTGAAGCTCTCGTTGCAATTGAGAGAGTTCATATCATTTTCTTACTTCTGCTAAATCTTGTTGCGTGCATACCTGATTTACGTAGATTGGACTTCTGTTGATCATTTTTCTCTTGTTTTGCAGAAAAAACTGGACTTCACACTCAAGGTTATTGGAGGGGACATTTCAGCAATTCCTGGTCTTTCTGAAGCTATTGAGGTTTGTCTAGCTTTTTTTTTTATTATCATTATAGCATTCATTTGTTCCTAGCCTCGTTCCAAATGATGCCAGTGATGCAATGCTGTACACTTTTAGATGCTTCTTTATGGTCTGGTGCATATGACGCTTAGCAGTAAGTTGATATGTAACAGGAAACAATACGGGATGCCGTGGAAGATTCTATCACATGGCCTGTTCGTAAGGTCATCCCAATTTTGCCTGGTGATTATAGGTACACCTCAGATACAAATTTTGAACCTTTGACGTAATGCTTATGGGTTTTGTAGAGGGTTTAGGCACTTAATTCAATCAAGGATATGCTCATTCCTCAACCATTTTTCTCCTTTATTCACTTTCTTACTATTCTCTTATAGCACTATAAAACTTGTCAATGCAAAATGAAGGTCCTTTTCTTCTGGTTTTGGATTTCTATCACAGCTTTTTGTTGCTTTATTTCCCAGCGATCTGGAGCTAAAGCCTGTTGGAATGTTGGAGGTGAAGCTTGTGCAAGCAAAGAACTTGACCAACAAAGATCTGGTTGGAAAATCAGACCCCTTTGCTAAAATGTTTATACGCCCTTTGCGAGAAAAGACCCAAAGAAGCAAGACAATTGTAAGACTAGTCCATTGTTTATTCTCTCATTTTCTGCTGCACCTGCCTGGATGATCTGATTCATAATTTATTCTTATCAGAACAATGACCTGAATCCCATCTGGAATGAGCATTTTGAATTCGTTGTCGAAGATGCGTCCACTCAACATTTAGTGGTCAGAGTATATGATGACGAGGGTGTACAGGCATCTGAGCTTATTGGCTGTGCCCAAGTCCGGCTCTGTGAACTTGAACCTGGTAAAGTGAAAGACGTCTGGTTGAAGCTGGTCAAAGATTTAGAGATCCAGAGAGATACCAAGAACCGTGGAGAGGTTGGTGCAGCTATAAATTCCCTTAGATAATCATGTGATTTTGTATCTGTAGATGACTATTAAATACACATTCTTGTTGATTCTGTGTAATATAGGTTCACCTTGAGCTACTATATGTTCCTTTCGGTTCGGGAAACGGCATCGTAAATCCATTTGCCTCATCTTCATCGATGACTTCCTTAGAAAGGGTGCTCAAGAATGATACGGCAGACGAAGAAAATGCATCATCGCGTAAGAGAAAAGACGTCATCGTAAGAGGAGTTCTCTCGGTGACAGTGATATCTGCAGAAGAGATACCAATACAAGACCTGATGGGGAAAGCTGATCCATATGTCGTTCTCTCCATGAAGAAGTCAGGTGCCAAGAGCAAAACTCGGGTAAGATGTCCAAAATGCTATTATCCAAGTTATTGATGTCTCATCCTCCTCATATCTTAACTGATTCTAATGTTGCTTCACCAGGTCGTCAATGACAGCTTAAACCCTGTTTGGAACCAGACTTTTGATTTTGTAGTTGAAGACGGGTTACACGATATGCTAGTTCTTGAAGTCTGGGACCACGACACCTTTGGAAAGGTAAAACCAAACCGCGACGCACTGTTTAACTAAAAGATCTTTATCCGCTGCATTCCATCAGACGATGGTTCGTTTATTGTTATTTGTGTGCAGGACTACATCGGGAGATGCATCTTGACGTTGACAAGAGTTATAATGGAAGAGGAATACAAAGACTGGTTCCCATTAGACGAATCCAAAACAGGCAAGCTTCAGCTGCATCTCAAGTGGATGGCTCAATCAATATACCGCGATTCCTAAGCTTTGTTGGAAGAGTCTCAACTTCCAGTGTACATGTTGTCTAGTAGCCACAAACGGATTTGTTTTTGCCAAAAAAATTACGAGTCTGCGTTGTAGCCCAAAAGCTATGGACTCGAATATGAGTTTTCCCTGTTTTCTGAAAACCCTAGACAATACTTGTGTTACTTACTTGCCTCGTGAGCTCATATGCAAGGGTTTTGCTTGCATCAAAAGAAACTCTTTAAATAAATTGTTCTACCTTTGATCTTGTGTAAGGCGCATCACTCTACACGTATCACCGTATTTGTTTCACTCTCATAAGCAGCTTTTTGACACATCTTAACGATCAGACAACATTTTGACTAATTGAAGCCTAATAAGCCACGCACACTCGGTGACACCTTCAACGTTTGTCACGTGTCTAAGTCCATGCACATTCCCAACTTCTTTTTATTAAGACCAGAGGACCAACAAGAACCATCTTCTTCACTTGCCGCTTGGTTTAGTTATAATCAATCAGACGAAATTTGAAGAGAGAAAGAAGAATCAATTGGTTCAATTTAATGGAGAAGGCAGTCCATTTGTCGACAACAGCTGGACCGGAGGTTCCAGGAGAGCCAACGAAGACCGGAACATCCATGGCTGACACCGCAGCTTCAGCCGTACAAAGCTTCGCTCCGGTTAACCAGATCCACCAACATCTCTGCGCGTACGCTCGCTTCTCATGAAATCGATAAATTTGGATATAAAAGAAACTGTCGTTATTTGCACCGCTTTTTTTGTTTGTTAAAATCAAATCTTACGATCAAGACATTTTTTACTATCTCTAATTAAATTCTTATAGTTTGAAATCAATATATTTTTTGTAGGTTCCATTTTTATGCACATGACATGACCCGACAAGTGGAAGCGCACCATTTCTGCGGTCACATCAACGAGGACATGCGTCAGTGTCTGATCTATGACGGTCCTGATGCCAACGCTCGTCTGATCGGTTTGGAGTACATTGTGACGGAGAAGCTCTTCATGACATTGCCTGATGATGAGAAGAAGCTTTGGCACACTCACGAGTGGGAAGTCAAAGGAGGCTTCTTGTTCATGCCTGGTGTTCCCGAACCAATTCAGCGCCAAGATCTCGAAAAAGTTGCCAAGACTTATGGAAAAGTCTACCATTTTTGGCAAGTCGATTTGGGGCATGAGCTTCCCATTGGTTTACCTAGTATCATGATGGCTGTTACTCGAGACGGTCAGCTTTATCCGGAAATGCTCGAGGGTAATTCCGTCATCTATTTGGTCCTTTTTAGTAGCGTTTTTTGGATTTGAACCTAAGATGATACGAGTGAAACTTGATATGTTATGAATGTTTGGTGTGTGAATACAGAGACGGAGAAGCGGTTTGGGGTATCTATTGAGAAGGAGAGAAAGTCGAGGGCTTATATGACCGGACCAGACCATGGGATCCATCCGCTAGCGAATGGAGGAGGCAAAGGGCTCAAGTTGGAGCTGCGAGAGGTTGACATCAAGCCGGTCGAGTCCGTTCCAAGAGTCTTCGTTTAAAGTTAAAATAGAGAGACCCTTAAGAGAAGAATAAATAAAAAGAAGCGATCGAGCTTTGCTTATGTTAGAGCCCTCGATCATCTGTGTAAGTTGTAAACTTGTAAAGGTCGCTTGAAATAGTATATGCCGTCTAATGTATTTACTTTTGTCTTCGCAACTCGTATAAGAATCTTATTTATATGGTGGAGTTTGTTCAGAAATGCACATCTAGTTTAAAAGAAGAAATGAGTAATAATAATCAATAGATATAAAGGACTAATAATACTAACATTATCTTAGGGTACAACCATAAAGAAAAGGTGGAGACAATATAGTAAAATGCTAAATGACCAAATGAAAAAACTACAAAATTTGTTGAATTACTGTGATAAACACAAAAGACCTCAGTTAAAAAGAACACAAAAGCATAGTCATGTCATGTGTGTATAAAAAAGAACAAAAAACTAAAATACTGAGACATTCTGGTGAGCTATGGCTGCGTCTTCTTTATTTCAATGTGGGATTTGGTCTCAGACTTCTCTCAATCTGTAATTCAGTTTCACGGCGAAGAGGCTCAAAATGACAAATACTAGAAGCAAATCTACAATGAAGAGAGAAAGAGAGAGCGAGAGAGTGACCTCTGTGTTTTTAAGATTGAACAGCCAGTTTCTGAAGATGTTGGAAGAAAACTTGAAGACTAACATCATCCGTGAAGATTATGTCGGAACCTGGACTCATCTCGCTCGCGTTGTTGTATGTTGCTGACGGATTTAGCTTGGCTAACAAAAACCTTGCCTGTCCATTATTTACCAAACGTATTACTCAAAGTCAACAAACACTAGCAACCTAAGCATTCGGATGATAAAGCTAAAAACACTAACCTGTGATCCATGCTGATCACACACAACTAATCTCGGCACAGGGAAACGTTCACGGATAATCATCTGAGCATCTTCTTGCGGGGCTTCCAATAGTTGTGCAAATGCCTTCACACATTAACAGATCAAATGAAACATGTAAGGTTGAAATCAAATCCCTTTCAAGAATATCCAAGGCCAACTAACTTGCATAGCCGTTACCTGGTGTTCAGGCTGATCTTGATAGCCCATGCTGCGCCACTGCGCTATGGTCAGTCCATGGAAAATGACGACACTAATGTAAGAATCCAACAAGAGGATACGGTCTGCACCAATGGAAGCAACATCCAACAATGCAGGCTGAGGTAGCGAGTTAAATGAATATGTTGTTAGAGATGGCTGAATCATAACAGCTGCATTTGAAATATTTTCTCGGTTCAATAGCATGCGGTTGTAGGCAGTTTCGTCTGGACTATTGTTGAACACCTAGCAATATCACCATATGAAAAGAAAAAAAAGAACATTACGTATTGGCGGACCAGTTATTACAGAGAAACATTTACAGCTTCCCATATTTCAAAACTTACCTGCACAAACTGTGAACGTCGGAGATTAAATGTAAACTGAGGAAATAGTGAAAAGTTTGGATTTAGAGTAAATGAAGCAGGATCATCCTTCCGGTAATCACCAAATTTAGAACAAAGACGAATAAGGTTCCTGTCTAGCCATCGCGTAGCATCAAATCCCTCCTGAGGAAAACAAAATTGACTGCGATTAATAAGTTTGATAATCAAAAACAAAGACTGGGTTAAACAATGATGGATAGAAATCTCAATTACAGAACAAAAATACTTAACATATACGTTTCACATTCCAACATACAACTATCTTTTGCTGTACTTTTGTCTCAAGGCCATATATGAGAATTAGCATAAACGCAAGTCAACAGAAAGCACCAAGAATTGAGATTCAGAATCTAAAGTTTGAGAGTGCTTGAATTTCATATTTACCTCTGTTTCCATTTTCAAGGAAGCTAATCTGGCCACCACCACAGCAGCAGTTTCTTGATCAAAACCTTGCACCAGTTCCTGAAGATATTACACACCAGGATTAAAAAAAATTGTAAAGGCAACGGACCAAGAGTATATCCGATTCTTGAGGTAAGATAACACATCCGAATAATGATTTTAAAACCCATTATAAAGTAGCAGTATACAAGAAATTTCCAAAATATAATGTGGAAAAGTACTAACCTCTGTGCTAAGAGCAGTATCTACCCATTGTCTGGTAACAGTAGTAACTCGAAGTAATGTTTTGCCTTCTGGGTTTTGGTAGCTGCAATCATATATTTCAGATCATATTTCTATTACTTTGGTGAACATGCTCAAACCTAGAATTGCATGAAGAGGATACCTTGTCATAAACTGTAAATATAGCTGGGTATTACCACCAGGATTACTTGATTGATCACTAGATGAAATGTCAAAGAAGACTGTCAAACAAGTACTATTGTCGAGGCCACACATCTTCCATGCCGTTGTATTCCCCTCACCGATAACTGTATCAGCAACGCTAGGACCTTTCTGCAATTGTCCCCAAAAAAACATAACGGTTAAGTTATCTACCGTAACTTTTAAAGACAAGATAAATTTATACGCAGCTTCAACCTTTTGTTGTGACGCGCACGGTCCAATAATTCCTTGAATTTTTATGTCCTTTGAACAGATGATCTCAAGTGCACCACTGAAATGGTAGTTTGAAAATAAGTGATAATGCCACTAGCTGAAGATGACTTTGATGCAACACAAGCGACAATTATACAGCTCAGGAATTTCAATTAGCATGCATGGACAAATGAAACAGAAAGAAGAGAGCATCAGGCTATAGCAGTAGCTCACTTGAAACAAAGGCCAAGAGACTGTTCGCCATCTTCGAATACTCGCTTAAAGGAATCCTTGAATACAGAGTGGCCGAAACTTTCTGATAAAACAACAAGTCCTCCAGTTCTTTCAACAGCAGCTTTCATTTCAGCAACACCAACCTTATATTTCAAAGAGGCACAGAGAAAATAATTATCATCCAGATTAAATCAGAGTTGAACGGAATTTGATGTCTGTTAGTAAATTTAGAATAAACAGCAAATATATCAATAAAAAAAAAAAACTTGTTCTTTTTCAAGCTACAAAGTTAGTTGTGACTTGCAATTGAGAGAAAATGTTTTACACCATATTTTCTTCATAAGATATATTACCTTCACATTCAAGGAAAATAAATACCTGATCAAGTGCGGATGCAAAAAGGTCCAGTACATGTCCTTGGTTAACCAACTGGTTTGCGAGAGCATCATAAAATTTCTCCGCTTTCTTATAGAAAGGAGCCGCATCTTTGTCGAGGTCTTTATGTGAACGCAAAGGTTCTGATAGATCCTTTGACACAATCTGCAGAAGCCAGAGGTACTACTAATTTAAAGGAAGAACTTTTGTCTCTGAGGCCAAATAATTTTCAAGTGCGGTGCTCTTCTCCTAAACACCTAGATGACCATTATACTTGCAAGAAAAACGGTCATATCATATGGAGATGCATAACCCACACGTAGCTCAACAGAACATGAATACAAAATCAATCATAGTTAAAGATTGAAGCCCAACAGATATGTGATGAAAAATCACTCTATTTTAAGCAACATACTAATAGCTTCTTCCTATTTAGTCGACATGAGGCATCTGATGCTCAATCAAATCTAATCAACAAACAATAGCATATATGTCTCATCTTCTCCTAACTATCATGCTCAACTGTCACCATTACCATTTCAATAGGTTCATAGATGAAAATACACCCGGTATTGAACAATCTAATAGTTAATAAGCAAATGGAGTTACCGTGCCTGGTCCCTCAGAGCATGGTCCTCCAATTAAAGCAACAATTCTAGCCCCAGTTCCTGGAAAACAAGCTCCAAGCAGTCCAGTGGCCACACTCAAAGCCACTCCCGTGCACCGCGACTGACGATTTCCAGGCTTGACAGTCCACTGATCTGTCTGCAGCTCATCCAACAGCTAAACTCCACACCAAAACATCCACAGTTTCTCGTCAATGTTGATGAACTTGTGCAATACCAATTTTGATCAGAAGAAGAAGCAATCAAACTTACCGAATCAATCGTGAATTCACACTCGGAAGCTGGCAACAAGAATCTATTAACACCAGAATTACCGGGATTGTCCCTCCCCATCGGAAACCCACCAGCAGGGGTTCGCCTCCCAGAAGCACCGAGGCCTAACTGCTCCAAAATTTGATCCTTGGAGATCTCCTTATCTCCCCTGAAGACAAAGACCTTGGTCAAATCGGAAAACCCCAGCTCGTGGACTTGCGCCTGCGTCCCAAATGAGACGAACCCAACCAGTGCATTCTCCGGAAGCAACCCGATCGCCTGCTTGAGCGCGGATTTGGCGTACCCAAACTCCTCCTCGATCATGCACGTGTCCAGAACGAAAACGAAAACCGACGGCGATGGCTGGCCGGCAACAGCACCGCTCTGATCGAAATTCCCGACACCGGTGGGCTGGGAAGGGTTAGGCAGAGTGTATTCGACGGTAGTGTACTGCGGGTACAGCTCGCAGGGGAGATTGGTCTCGGAGATAACGTGGTAGTGAGGAGGGAAGGTGTTGCGCTGGAAACAGATTGGGCAGATCCAGATCTTGACGGTGAAATCAACCCGAGCGAACGGATTGAGAGCGGCGGAGCAAGTGCGGCAACGGAGAGGTGCATAAGGAACGGATTGGATATCGCGGTGGTAACGGATCGGAGAGATACAAGCAGCGACAGGGATCACACACTTGCTGGCTTCAACCTTGGTACGAGGCCATACATTCCACGTCATACGGACTCCGTCGATTCCTTCCGGATCCATACTCGCCATCTCCGACATGGTATCAAGGTTACAGATCGAGGAAGAATTTCCAAACAGGATTTAGCTCAATGAATCGAAATTGGTCCTTGGATTCTGAATTTTGTGATCTGCGAATTCTGTAAAATGAGGCGACCCCAGAAGAAAACTGAGGTGATCACTGGGCGAGAGAGACGAAAGGGAATGGAGATTTGATCAGATGCAGTCGTGTATACATTCATTCATTACCTTTTTAGGGTTAAAAAAAGACAGTAATGGTAAATGCTAGAACCGTGAATGATTCATTTTCAGGTTACTTTTTTGGCAACTGTTTTATCTTAGTTTTGTAACATTTGACCAAATCCTTTAATTTATAAAGCACAAATCATATCTGCAATAGTACTGTGACATGTGGCATTTTATTCAGAAATAATTAAAAAGGAAGAATAATAATGGCGAGTTTCTCCTATTAACTTTCTTTACTTTAGTTCTACTGTGACTGAATAACAACACATTAGCCTAATTGGCAAGGTGAAAAAAATTATCTTTGGTTTATAGTTTATACGAATCGAAAGAGAAACAGAAGAAAAATATATCTTTCACATTTTTATGAAAAAATATCAACACGATTTATCGACTGTTACACTATTATGTAGCCTCCTCTGTTTCACACAACAGAGTCTCCACAAAAGCTTCTATGTTCTTATCCGAAGAGCCTCCTTCCCTACCCTCTTCAACAGCTAATCGCTTCCACTTCTCAGCGTTTTCCTTCAACTCATCAGCTTTATCCTCCATCACTGCTTCCAAACACCGCCTTATCTCTTCTCTCTCCACCAACCCTTCCTCGTTCTCTCTCACCCTCACACCTGTCTTCCATGAATCCTCCATAAGCTTCGCGTTCGTCGGTTGATCCGACCACATAGGAAACGCCACCACCGGAACGCCTAAAACCAAACTCTCCAGCGTCGAGCTCCACCCACAATGAGTCAGAAAGCAACCTACGGCTCGGTGTCTTAAAACCTCCACCTGCGAACACCAAGACAGAATCATCCCAACCTCTTCGAGCTCGTGTCTTAATCCAGCTATCTTCTCAACCTCTGTCTCGTCCTCTCCTTCTGCTTTCGCTTCTCTGTTGGGTTTATCAGTTATAACCCACAAGAACGGTCTTTTCCCTTCAATGAGTACTCTCGCTAGTTCCTCTATCTGTTTCCTCGACAGCTCAACCATTGTTCCAAAAGAAACGTAAATAACAGAGGACTCTGTTTTCGAGTCTAGCCAAAGGCTATAACTACTTTGGTCTATTGATTCGCTTACTGAGAAAACTTCCGGAAGAAGTAAAGGACCAACCGCCACCATTTTGATATTCGGGTTAGCGGTTAAGGCCTCTGGCTCCAGCGAACCGAATGTGTTGACGAGAATTTTCAGGTTGGATTCTTCTCTGAGAAACTCTATGAGTTCTTGATATACTGTTTGTGCGGCTTTGTTCGTGTTGGAAGGTGAGAGGAAAGAAGGAAGATCACGGACTGCGAGAGACGGAAGATTCTGGAACTCGAGACCAGAGCTGTGTATGGAGGAATGATTGTAATAAACGTGGAAAGCTAAAGCGGGTTGGATCCAGAGAAGAACAGCGGGAAGGTGAAACCTACGCGCCAGTTTTGGAACCCAGTTGGGAAGAATCGTGTAGATCAAGCAAGTCACGGGAGAGTCTCCGTCTCGATTTGCTTCGATGAACTCTGATAACGTTTCATCGCCGTTACGTTCGAGGATCAGCAAGCGGTTTTGGACGTCTTCGGTGTTGGAGATGACGCCGTCGTCGAATCCGTCGGAGAAGCTGAGGAAAGAGAGGTTGTACACGTTGTCGTGGTTTGGGATCATCGAGCGATTGAAGACGGAGAGACACGTGGCGAAAGTGACACGTGCACCGGTGGTTCTGATGAGCCGACGAGCGAAACGGAGTGCTGGATTCACGTGACCTTGAGCTGGAAACGTTACTAGTAGAAAATGTGGTGGCGCCATTTTTAAGTCTAGGACGAGAATGTATGTTGTGTGCGTCTCCTTGTGGATTACTGTTGTTATATTCTGTGTATACCTGTAAACAAAAATATAAATGATGAGCAATTGGGATTTGATTATGGGTACTTATATGACATGAACCAAGCATGAAGCATGACATAACATGTGTTACCGCTTTTATCGTGATCCACGATGTACGCCATGATAGATATCATAATTCATAATGCTAGACTTTAGTTTCCTGGTTAAAATTAGGTGAAAAATAAAAACATCCTCGCTACAGGGAATTGAAAGTGTTAAACCAAAATTTTCAGATTGGTTTTGATCAAACCCATTTTCAGACGCCTGGCCCCTTCTTTCCTAGTCCATAGTTTTGATCAAGTTTGGTTTGATTGACGAACTATAAAATCAGCAACCTTATCTACTGAGTGAGATCCATGAAGGAATCTCCAAAGATTCAAAAACAGAATCGAAAACCGAAACCGATTTCCACAATCGTAGACGAACCAGGTTAGGGAAATTGCGGAGTTGAACCGGTTTAATGTGGCGCATTGTAGTATACTAGTATTCACAGATTCCTGAGGAGCTACGGAACTTCATGCTGTTTGTGAGTTTATAAACGACAGACAGTGTGTACCTTGAAAAAGAAATAAACGGCATGCATGGTGTTGGTATGCGTCTCCGAAATCTAGGAATGTGAATATCAAACTTAGAGATTCCCCTCGTGAGTCGTGGGCCTCGAAAACTTGTGACAATGATTGGGTTTAGTTTTTATAAATAAACAAAAATCAATTAAACGAAAAGAAAAAAAACGTGGTCCCATAAGAATGTCCAAAGGTTAGCTGATAAGCGTAAAATTTGTCACTTGTGTAACAACTAATTTTTGTTTCAAGAGTTTCAAAATATCTCAATCTTACTTTGTTATGTTTACAGTCCTGATACTTCTGAGGTTAATGTGGGTTTCCTATTCAGTTACTTACAGAATATACTCCTATTTTTACATTCGTAACCGCTTAATCTATTGAGATACGTCATTAATTTATGTTTACGGTTTTTGAGAGCGACGTGCGTCCCATTCTCATTTTTCATTACTACTGGGAGCTCGTTATATAGAAAAGGGAAAGACAATGCATTACCGTGTTTGAAAAACTAAAAATGATTTTCAGTAAAATGGCTGATTCACAAAAATGATTAAATGAATGGCTATATATACAGTGTAAATATTATTTTTATTTTATTTTGTGAACCTGTAAATAAAATTGTTAAGAACATAGTACAAAGGTTTTGACAAAAGGCATAGGCATTTGAAAGTTGGGTTGCATACAGTCACACAGACGCAACAGCTGGTCCCTAGAAACCCGGGGGGAAAGTGAATCTCATAGATACGCTCGTGAGCCTCGAAGACTTGTAACAAGAGTTACTGAGTTAATTAATGTTTACAGATACGCGCGCGTTAATGTTTTTGTTTCCCTTTTCTTTACAAGCCCTTAATTTCATAATTTTTATTTATTTGCTTAATATATCTCTTAGATCAAGTATACTCTGTGTTCCTTAATTTTTATGTTTACAGTTTTTGGAAGACACTGTGGGCCCCATTTAATATATCGTTTACAATGTCTTTGAATTCCTCAGCGATTTTTAATTACAAAACGTGGGTCACAAACTCACAAGTCACAACGTATATAGGTTTCTCGGTTTCCCCCCATTAACCCATTGTCATCCTCCATCATTCATTATTTCAATATACATCTCTGAATCTTCTTAAACAAAAACTCAACCAGTTTGTAATAGCGCTGTTTACGAGACAGAGAAGGAAACAGAGAACATTTGAAGAAAACTGATAATGAGTTTTCACCTTCGAACATATTTTCTCATCCGTCCTTCATCTTCTTCTTTTCTTACTCTTCCTCTTCTCTTCTTCTATTTAAGGTCTCACTTTCTCCTTCACATTCATCTTACTCTTTCATCTTCATCTTCCTTTTTCATCTTTATCTTCACCTTCATATTCCTTTTTGCATCTTTATCTTCACCTTAATCTTCATGGCGAGCTCCAAAGTCTTATCGGCCATAGAAAAGGCAACAAGAAACGCAATCAAGACTCTCACTTTCGGGAATTCCAGCTTCATGAGCACCGATGTTGCAAACCCGAAAGTGAGAGTCTTGATTGCGTTTCTTGTTGCCTTTTCTATGGCCGATAAGACTTTCGAGCTCGCCATGGTTTCAGTGACTAGTATATTATTTACCAACCACATTTCACGTGACTAGTATATTATTTACCAACCACATTTCACTATTTCATACATATTGCATTTAGGATCCCAACATGATGTAAATTTTATTTGGGATTTTATGTTTAAGGATCCCATCATTCAAGACATAATGAAAGTGATGAACAAAGGGAAAATATGACGAGATTAGTAACATTTTTGTCATTAACCGAGGAAGTTAGATTTCTCTAAACGATCATCTTTGTCTTTAACCTCCTCTGCTTCAGTGAAGAGAGTCTCCACAAATCTCATCCACAAAAGCTTTCATGTTCTTATCCGATGACCCTCCTTCTCTACCCGCTTCAACTGCTAAACGCTTCCATTTCTCAGCGTTTTTCCTCAGCTCATCACCTTTCTCCTCCATTACTGCTTCCAAACACCGTCTTATCTCTTCTCTCTCCACCAACCCTTCCTCGTTCTCTCTCACCCTCACACCTGTCCTCCATGTATCCTCCAGAAGCTTCGCGTTCGTCGGCTGATCCGACCACATCGGAAACGCCACCACCGGAACGCCAAGAACCAAGCTCTCCAGCGTTGAGTTCCATCCACAATGAGTCATGAAACATCCTACGGCTCGGTGTCTCAAAACCTCCACTTGCGAACACCAAGACACAATCATCCCAACCTCTTCAAGCTCGTGTCTTAAACCGGCTATCTTCTCAATCTCTGTCTCATCGTCTCCTTCTATCTTCGCTTCTCTGTTGGATTTATCAGTTATTACCCACAAAAACGGCCTTTTCCCTTCAATGAGTGCTCTCGCCAGCTCCTCTATCTGTTCCCTCGACAGCTCAACCATTGTTCCAAAAGAAACGTAAATAACAGAGGACTCTGTTTTCGAGTCTAGCCAAAGTGCGTAACTACTTTGAGATTCTCTTGGTGAATCCTTAACTGATTCGCTTCCTGTGAATATCTCCGGAGGAAGCAAAGGACCAACCGCCACCATTCTGACATTCGGGAGAGCCGTTAACGCCTTTGGCTCCAGCGAATCGAAAGTGTTGACGAGGATTTTCAGGTTGGATTCTTCTTTAAGAATCTCCATCAGTTCTTGAAACGCTGCGTATGGGACTTTGTGTGTATTGGCAGGCGTGAGGAAAGAAGGAAGATCACGGACTGCGAGAGGCGGAAGATTCGGGAACTCGAAACCGGACTTGTTTCCCGTGAAGTGACTGTAATAAATGTCGAAAACCAAAGCCGGTTGGATCCAGAGAAGAGCAGAGGGAAGTTGAAACCTATGCGCCACTTTTGGAGCCCAGTTGAGAAGAATCGTGTAGAGCAAGCAAGTGACCGGAGAGTCACCGTTCCGATTATCTTCTATGAATTCCGACAGGATTTTAGATCCGTTTGTAATGAGATTCACGGACCGGCGGTGACGGTCTTCGTCTGTGGAAACGCCTCCGTCGTCAAAGCCGTCGGAGAAAGTGAGGAAGGAGAGATTGTTGTGGCTGCTTTGTTGGGAAATCATAGAGCGGTGGAAGACGGAGAGACACGTGGCGAAAGTGACACGTGCGCCGGTGGTTCTGATGAGCCGACGAGCGAAACGGAGAGATGGGTTCACGTGACCTTGCGCCGGAAACGTTACCATTAGAAAATGTGGTGGCGCCATTTGTTGTTTGTTTTTGCTCCAATCAAGTGAATTGTGAGTCCAATACGAGAGAATCTATGTTGTAATAAATATAGAAATTATAGATGAGGAATTGGATTTGGATACTGGAATTAGGTTTGGTTTGAACATTAATGCGTCTTCATCAAACATACGCATACGCAAAATAATTGTACCAGATTACTAGTGACGTCTGTGGTGATGCTTCGCTAGCTAGTTACAAAGCCTTTTGGCCTCGTTCGTATAAAATCCAAATTCATGTTTGGTTTTTGCAGATTTGACGTCGACATGTGAATGAAAGATGCAAACAGTTCCTCTGTTTCTGTTTAACATAAACAAATTGTTTTGTAGTTTTATTCGGAAGTAAAGATGCGACCCTTTTATTCACCAACCCGTTTTGTTTTGCTAGTTTTCACATAAGAGTTATACTCAAATTTATCATACGTCTTCTTAATATGATATCCTTTTTTAGAAATAAAAGTCTGTCAAAGGGATAAAATTGTAATACTTTTTTTCTTTTTTGTCGGCCAAAAATCATATCTCCATCAAACAAAATAAATATCTAAAACGACTATACGTATAGTGTAGTTACTAAAGTAAAACAGAAAATATAATAAATGTTACGATAAAGACAAACAAATAACGAAGAAACCATCATCAATAATGAGTCCGTCGGTCGTTATCATGACGTGGACGGGAAGACGATATTTTTTTTTTTTTTTTTCCAACAAACGGTTCTTCTATTGCTCAAACTTGAGTTGGAGTGATTACCCACTCCGGAATAGAACAACCAATAAACAAAAGGGGCCTAACAAAAGACCTAGCAAGCCTAGCCAAATGATCGGCTTTACAAACAAAATTCCGAGGCACATAAATGATGGAAAAGGATGTGACCGAGCTCCTTAGCCTCTTGAACTCCAGTAGCTCCGTTAAGAATTTTGGCCAGTCTTCGGGCTTGTGAATCATCTTGATCACATCTTGGCAGTCTGTTCCGAAGGCTTGAATAGTCGAGTGGTGGAGTGCACATTGCATGGCCCACAGAAGAGGTTCCAATTCCGTATGGAGTGGCGAGAGCCGTCGTGGTTGGTTATGAAGTCCAAGCATGTTTTGGCTTCCATCCGGATTAATCCACACCCATCCATATCCACTGTAGACATGTTTTTGATGCCAAGAACCATCAACGAGGCATATATTTTGCAAGCGTATGGCTTGATTCTGGATTGCCGGTGGGAGGGAAGTTTTAATTTGCGCTTCATGCCAGGCACGACACTCTGCTTCTGCATGACGGACCGTTCCTAGGGGATCACGTGATATACCCTGGAAGAGTTTTTCATTCCGAGCTTTCCATATGAACCAGATAATCCATGGAAATGGGTCAGACTCCTCTTCGCCGTCCCCCATGTCTGGTCGCCGCCAAAAGAGGTAATCCATGTTTGTGTAAACACCCGAGGAAGGGAAAACACTTGGCGGCGTAGCAGTGGAGGCAAGGGCCCATGTCTGTAGAGCTGGTGGGCATTCAAAGATGGCATGGTTTATAGATTCGTCCTCGGCTCCACACCTGGGACAATTGTTGTCGCACTTCATCCCTCGATGGATCAAGTTTTTTGTTACAGCGAGGTAACCCGAGATGATTTGCCAAAGTAGGTGTTTGATCTTCTGTGGAGCTTTCATCATCCAAGAGTGAGCTTGTAGAGGTCGGAGGCTTGGCTCCAAATATGACTCTTCAATAGGAAGACGATATATCCTATGTAGAAAACTTCAAAAGATTCACATTTACTTGTGAGTCTTTTAAATCTGAGGGGAAAAAAGATTCATCCTTTGAGATTGTGATAGAAATAAAAAAAAATGAATGACATAGATGTATGCGAGTTATAAGGTTTCTAACTTCTAAATGTAAATTACTTGGAAAGCAAACAATTACAGATAAACCATGGGATTTACACAAACGTCATCTACAATATGTGTACATGTCACTCCTTGTTTTTGGAAGACCGGTCTTTTCTCTGACCACCAAGAATACGAGAAATTTGCAGACCTCTGCTAAAGGCTTGATTAAAGAGCATTCTTGTCTGGAACTCAGACACGAAAGGAAACCAAGCCAAGAACGCAACCGGCGTGAACAGAAGCAATCCCATCACGATCTCATATCCCCGGGCCAGCGTCCTAACCGATGACCATATCCCTAGCCGTTGGATCAGAGGCTTACAAGCTTGTGCAATCTGAATTGGAGGACAAAAGCCAAGCAGTTAAGAGTCACAAAAACCAGACAAAACTGCTATCTTAGAGACAACAGAGGAGTTTGATGGAGAAGAAAGACTTACAAGAAGCATTCCCCATCCGGTTGGCATGAAGGCAAGCATGCAGATGAATAAGTCTTTGATTGTTATCAGAGGAAGTGAGAGGAAAGTTATGAGCATTGCAACAAATGTTATGAACACAAAACCCTTAATGATTCTGAACAAAAGCTGGAAATTTGTGCTGAATCTTCGCCTTCCCATACCCAAACCCTGCAATAATAGTTCCATGAAAGAGTTTAGAGTCTTGCAAGAATATCAAAACGTGAATCTGCATAAAGATTCATATACCTTCACAATGACCAGAATGAATATGATGACAAACCATGAAGCTCCATAAACCTGAAAACACCATGTTACCCATTGTCATTATCATTCAATAACCAAGGGCTTCACCATTAGAAGTTAAGAAGTTACAAGTTTAGCTTTACCCAAACGCTTTGATTTTTCCCTTTAAAGGTACTGAGGTGATACACAAGTCCGTACTGAAAGATGAAGAAGCGCAACGCCAGAAAGATCTCAAGGATGATACCACGGATCCCAGAGTGTCGAAGATGTTCCATCTCTTTCTCCCACCAAGACTCCCAGCTTTTCTCAGGAGGAACACCGATTCCTCCACGGTTGTATATCCATTTGTTCCAGTCTGTCCAGTCATCAACAATCTTCTGCCACTCGAAACCAGACGGATTGAACAGGAAAGGAGCGAATAGCCACGTCACCACCATGAACCATATTGAAACAGTGATCAGGATATACGTAATCACACCCCTATACGATTGGCCAAATAGTTGATACACGAGCAGAAGAATCATCAGCTCAATGCCCTTCACGAAGTGACTGCGTGAATAGAACCTGTAGTTCTCAGCAAATTTGGCATGAAACACCACAAACCCACGACCAGTTCCTCTGTATTCTGCACCTCCATGAAACAAGGTCCTTCCGTAGTAATGCGTCTTTGTACCGAGTTGAAAGGTGAAGAAGACGGAAGCAAGTTGTAACTGCATCAGCACAAACTCGATCAATGCGTTGTGAAACCCTCTCTCAAGTCCAATCTCCATCATCATAGGCAAAGCCATTAAGAAACCAATCTGCACAAATGATTGAGAAGCAAGAGCTGCCTCAAGAGGCTTGTTGTTACGGAAAGCTTTTTGGTTGCTCAATCCTTCTTCAAGACCACTAAGAACTAGATATAGCCGGCCGTACAGAAACACATATACCGTAAGCACAGTCAACTGTCAAAAACACAGACAATGGCTTCAGACTAGAGAAACAAAAGAACCTGCCATGTATAAATCTAGAAATCTCAACTTACCATGGTGCTGAAGTAGAACCCAATTGTGGTGAAATAACAAGACATCATCCGGAAGAAATCAAATCGGTGTCCCAGTCTATACAAGTCACGACTCAAAGTTTGCTCGCCATTTCCATTGGCGATTTTTGCCTCAAACATTGAGATTTGGTTGAGACCCACATCTCTCCCTTTACCAACTTGTATATATTCATGGTGAGTCACGTTTCCTTCACGCAGAGTAGAGTTAAAACCTGAAAGCAGTAAACCGCTATGAGAAATATGAAAACTATATGAAGCACGTCGTATGTGTATCACCAGAGATGAGGAGATCAAGCAAGTACCGGCAAAAATGTCTTCACTAAGATTGATGACTTTAGAAGCTTTGCAGATACCACCTCTGGTAAGGTGAAACAGACGATCAAAAATATCTGGATGACCGTAATGGAATCGAACTCTGGAGCAGAGAAAGAAAGAAAGAACACATTAACTTTGATAATCACAAGTAACCAGATTTCCCCTAAATAGTTTCAGAAGAGGTAAGAAACTTACTTCAAGGGACTAGCTAGCACTCTTTGCCCAATCGTTACGAAGCTGTTCTCCTGATTTGACATAAACCATGCAAGAGAAGACACACTGGCCACAAGAAACCACATACGTACGTTGGAGATCAATAGGTGAAACAAAAAAAATCTAGAAGACATAAATAAGATCATACAATTAGTACCTTCCAGTGAAAATATGCTCTCTGAGACCAAGAATCGTTGGACATCTTACGCCTCCATGCTTTACAAGGAACTCTTGCAGTAAATTCCTCATTTTGAAAGCTTCCTCCATGTAGTTATCCTAATTATGAAATATCTAGAGGTTAAGAATCTCCTGTGGCGATCATTCTTTTAACTAATCATAAGCATAAATGAGATTTCATTAGGCAATGCACCTGATTCATGTCTATTGTCTGCAACCCTTCTCCACGTGTAAAAATGATAGCATGGTTCTGATTTTCCGGCTTTCCCTCTCCTAGTATAGCCGGTCCCGGAAGCTTAATCCGATAAATGAGCTGACAAAAAGAAATTATAAACTCAGTCTCTCCAGAAAATAGAACAAGAGCATCAATATCTTCTGAAAAAAGTATGCACCAAAACGATATTTTTAATTAGTCTTTTTCTCACTATATACCTGATCTAGTGTTTGAACAGATTCAGAAGAATCCATTTGTTTGGTTTGCGGAGCAGCTTTTACAAGAGCTGAGTAATAGATCTTTTCCTCTGTGCCCTTATAACTGACTTTATGTGTTTGCTCGACCTCATCGATATAGGCAACACGAATAGATGGGTAGCTGTCACAGGAAAATAGCAAAGCTTAAATAATGAATAACAAACCAAGTATAAAGACTTAAGGATAAAAGGATGAAGATGTTACGTTTTCATAAGTCTCAGTATGTCTTTGGCGCGTTGGTCACCAGATCTCTTATGGATACTGTATTGTTGGCAAGAAACAACAAATGTGAATTTCATATCCGCAAGTGCTTGACATTGTGCCCAGAGTGACCCTCCACTCTTTGATTCTTCCTCACTGGTTAGCTCCAGAGCCTTGTAGCCTTTCAATAATTCTAGAACAAAAAAAAGATAGTTTAAGAAATGCTTTCACGCTTTCTAAGAATCAAGAGAAATCACAGTGAAGATTATTCAAGCACCTTCATCCTTAGCCATATCAAGGAAGGCCTGAAGTTCCAAAGCCTTTCGATAATACATCATGCCTCGCACTTGTTGAAACAAATAAAAAATCAGGCACATTCAAAAGAAAAATTCTTCCAGTTAGCAAAATGAAGCAGATATCACTCAATGAAAGATTAAGAGAGGACGGTAATGTCTATATACAGTACCGGTTTTGGTCAGAGTTTGGCCTCTGTAAGATGCCCATAGACGAAGATCCTCTTCCAATTCGTCTCTTGTTCTTAGTACTTCTTCGCTTTCACATTTAACTCGTTCCAGAAAGTTTGTCCATTCATCTGATGAAAGCCATGGACTCAGCTGATAGCTCAAACACAATAATAGAGCTTTATGAAAAAGAAATTAAACAAACCTGGGAAGATCTTCTGCAAGTAGAAAAGTATAGAGACTCCATCTTCATTTTGCTTTTCTAAGCCATTTATGGAGAAAAGAACATCCTCTGAAAAGTACGGTGTTAAGACCCTACGGAAAAAAGCAAAATGGGCGATGTCAAGATGAAGGTGTAAAAAGATGCATAAATTAAGTAGAAAGTAACTGGAACATACGAGAAGGAGAGCATGTTGCGGATCTTGGGTGCATCAGGCATGTCCATGAATAATGAATTTGAGAAGAAAGTGAGGCGCCTTCGAGCTTCCAAGTTGGATGGAACATCCATAGCTGACTCCTTGACAGTTAGCAAAAGATGAAGCCTCTTGATCTGCAAAACAACAAAAAAGAAGAAAAGCAGACAAAACAGTTAGATTCTCCTCAGGCCAAAGAGAGAATGTGTACCACTATAATGGAAATAAGAACGAGATAAATGGAAGAATTTTTAAGGAAGAGACTTGCTTTTTCTTTCCAGGCTTCCTTTTGAGAGTAAACTGGGAACTGAAGTTGGCTGAAATATTTGCGCTGTTGATGAAGAGGGGTCATGACGTCGTACTTGACATAAGATCCATTGTGGGCAGTCTCTAGCAAGCTATGGAATGGAAACTCTATATCAGAGTGGTTTCAAACAAAAAGTGATCGATCACTCAAAAGACGGTTCATGCAAATGGTCTTACCTTGGAACTTCGTCTTCCATAATGTCTCTAGTCACCACTTCTAACATGTTCAGCAAGACGATTACAATCTGATCCTTGTCCTCCTCGTTGTTTTGTATCTGTTGCAAGTAGACCAAGCTTGGTTATTTCCTTAAATTCATGTTAAGCTTGACAGAGAGATATTCAACATCGCAATGCTACAGCAGTACCAAATATTCGATGAGCCGAACAAACTGGCCATACAGATCAGGAAGAGCACTCAGGTTCAACTCTGTTATCAGTGTTTCGTTCTCAATATGCTCATCAATCTTGGAGAAGATATCGTTTATGACCCTAT